ATAGGATGTGCATGCTATTTCGCAACAAATTCATCGATTGTAAAGCTTCTTATAAAGACGAACCACCTTTGGTGACTTATTGGTCAAGAACGGTTACTCTAGTTATACCTCACCCAGACCATTTAACCTTCAGCCAGAGGGTTGAATTATTCTCCCGTGGCGCCGCTTTCCTACAGCGGTCTCCTCAGCCGCTGACCTGACAACCGTCGTGCTCACGGTCTCTCCCTCCTCACCTGCACCGAGTGGTAGTGATCCACGTGCAGTCGGACCGCCTGCCAGATGCGCTCCTCCTGCAGCAGCTCCGTGGCGGCGTCCATATCCGCCGCCATGTAGCGGTCCTGGTCCCAGGCGGCGACGCGCGAGCGCACCACCTTGTACACCTCCTCCAGGGGAACCGTGGTCTTCAGCGGACGCAGGAATTCAATGGCCTGACAGGCTGATAGCAGCTCGATGGCGATCACTCGCTCCACATTCTCAACCACCTGTCGAAGGGGGAAGGTGTTGAGGCTGAGTTTGACCTTGTGGGGTTAGGAAATGTTAGTCTGATCTGTGCATATGTTACCGGGAGATTGCAGAGCTAATGTCTATGATTGAATGATTAGTTTGAGCACCTGTCAGCGGTGTTACGTGCCGTTCTGGGATGTGATTCAAAAGTAAGCATGATGCGCTCGATCGTATGACACCTAGAGGATTCGGCTAATAAAAACGTCAAAGGGCAAGTCATCGAGAGCACGATCAGGAAATATGGTGAAAAAAAGTCTCGACAACTCTGTACAGAACGCGTGACCATCTCGTCCTCAAACTCTGGACGGGAATTAGCTCTTGTCTGCGCTGCCGGACAGTACCCACCATGAGTGCCTTGCGCGCGGCCCACGCGCCCATGGAGACGTGATCCTCTGTACCGGCGCTGGTCGAGATGCTGTCCACCGACGCCGGGTGGCAGAGCACCTTATTCTCGGAGACCAGCGCGGCGGCCGTCACGTGCGCCATCATGAATCCCGAGTTGAAGCCGCCATCCTTGACCAGGAAGGCCGGCAGCTCCGAGTAGGCCGGGTTACAGAGACGCTCCACGCGTCTCTCAGACATGGCCGCCAGCTCGGAGACTCCGATGGCCAGAAAGTCGAGCGCCTTGGCCGGGTACTCGCCGTGGAAGTTTCCGGCGGAGATAATCTCGCCTCGCTCGGGCAGCACCAGCGGGTTGTCGGTGGCAGAGTTCAGCTCGGTGGTCAGCCAGGAGCGACACAGAGCGATCGTGTCGTGCGAGGCGCCGTGTACTTGCGGGCAGCAGCGCAGTGTGTACGCGTCCTGGACACGGTTACAGTACCCGTGCGACTCTGCCGGGGTAGAGAAGGCGATGCAATGTTTGGCTGCTGATGAACATGACATGGGTTCACAATTCGCAACAGAAAACAGACGGTGGCAGTCTCAGAAGTAGGTTATTTTACCAAAGATATGTAACATTTTAACGGTGTTATTTTTAACCAAAAATAGCGGAAGCTGAACATATCAATATGCGCCTTATGAACTGAAGACAGCCATTTTCCAACTAAGCTTATTCCAAACCCCTTCAGTAGCTCATTTTTCAAACTTAACTTATTCGAAACCCCGTAAGTTGCTCGTTCGCCGACATTTCATTTAGGTTGACTTTCCGCCAGCAGCTCTCCCTCAGTCCGCCGCTTACCCGCGATCTCTGACGGATATGTATCCGAGTGGAGCAGCGCTCGGAGTCGACGAGCCACCTCAATCTGGCCTTTGTGCGGCCTCAGCTGGTGGACATCGCTGTCGAAGGCGCGGGACGTTCCTTGAGTACCTCCAGACTCATGGCGGCGACCACGTCTGCCTGGCGGGCGATGGAGCCGGCCCGCTCCACGGCCGCCGCGCCGATACTGGCGATCAGCTGGGTGCCGTTTATCATGCACAGACCGTCCTGTGGGGGACAGGGCACGGATCAGAGGTCGGGTCGATCACTCTCGCGCTGGGTAGGCAGTTCAGGTCACTGGTGCTAAATGACCGTTCAGGGCTCTGTCCTCGAGAGTGGTCAGAATAAGTGACTTTGCGCAACGATCTGGCCTGGTTTGAAGTCCGCAGAACTGCCTACACATCATCATCCATACGTGAGCGAGGATGCGTCTTTATTGCTGCTATTTTTTTCGTTAAATGCATCCAATGTTCAGTGACAACTCACCTCTAATCTCTACCTTAGAGCGCCAATAAATACCCTACCTTGTAGGAGAGTTGAATTGGCTCGAGGCCGTGCGCTTCCAGGACGTATTTGGCCTCTCCCCAGCCGGTCTTGGCGCTCCACATGCGCCCCTCGCCCATCAGGCCGAGCGCCAGGTGGGCCAGCGGTGCCAGGTCTCCGGAGGCTCCCACCGAGCCCTTCTCGGGCACCCACGACAGACACGACGCTGGGGAGAGACGGGGCTGATACTGTGAGGGAGAGAGGGTGACCGCGTCGGACACCATGTGTGTCGAGTCCTGTTCTCAGCTATGCAGTTAGCAAGCTGGTTAATGAATCATGATTGTGTATGTGTATGCACGAGTAAATTCATGGTCAGATGATGTGTTCAAACTGCTACAATAGGGCCACCATCACAATAGGGCCACACCATGAGTTCAACATTGGGAATATTGATTATCTTTGAGTGCGGAAAAGCTCATTGTGAAATACTTGCTCACTGTAAAAAAAAATCGAGTCAACTTTGCTGGAGAGGCACTTCGCGACCTGTCATTTAGGTGACTTCAGCTCCGACTGACGCTGTTGGCCCGCACGAAATATCTTACCGTTGAATGCGTCGATCATCTGGAACACAATCTTGGGCGCGATACCGCTGTAGCCTTTGGCCAGCACGTTGATGCGCAGCGCGAGCAGCATGCGCGTCTTCTCGGGGGAGAGGGGCTCACCGACTCCGGCCGCGTGAGAGCGGATCAGGTTCACCTGCAGGTCCCTGCGGTGGGCGGAGGGGGGGGGGGGTGCTGTCAGTTGTCACCGTATGTCATGAGGTGTGATGGTATGCTGCCAATTCAGTCAAATTGTATGTTGTTTATTTGCTGTTACCGTTGCCTTCGTAAATCGTCAAATGTAGATGTAAAACAAAGTGATTCGAGATGAGTCTCAGGTTTTTACGTCTTAGCACCGGCGCAAAAAATGACCGGGCAAGTAATGTTCGTACAGACATACTGTTATGGAAGTAAACATACAGAACTAATCCATGCCTTCAGTAACCCAGTAGGCACTTGGTGCTAATTAGAGAACACAAAAACGTGGAGAACTCACTGTATTTTGTCCTGCGAGATGGGGATGTTGGCGAACTTCCCCAATCCGGTCGTGATTCCATACACCGCTGACAGAAAAAAACGGATTCATTTTAGTCATTTATTCAATGGACTCATATAATAGAGTGCCGTATTTGGAGTCACCGTTAGGTATAAGCATTTACAATTCCATTTACCAATGAATTTGCGGATTGGCAGCAATGTAGCCCTGGTAGACGGGCAGTTGAAACACTGAATTGGTCCAATCATATAAGAGACGATTTGACTATGCCCAACGGCAATGTGTTTTCTTACTTTTCTTTTCCTTGACGATTTTGTCGACGAGCTCTCTCGACTTGAGTAGGAGATCTTCCGATTCTTTCGTCAGCTTTGAGCGAAGAGAGGGCGGAGGGCAATGTCAGCGTGAACGTAGCGAATTTTTTTTTTCACTCGATCTCATTAACAACCTATTATTCTTATTCGATATTTATATCGAATAAGAATTGACCTTTTCAGTCATTGACCTTTCAGAATTGAATTGAATGATAATCTGGCGGTTGTGATTTGCTATAAAGACATAAAAGGGTTAAAAAACGAATCGAGAATGGGATCTGACACCAAACTGCAGGAATTAGTCGCACGCTTGACGGTAGAAGAGTACCTATCTCTAGGAGTCTTGAACGAGTCCATAGTATGCAATAAAATGCAAGCGCCGCTGCTTCCAATAATTGTTAGCGGTTACAACACAAACAAAACAGATGCGTGATAAGTGAGTTATCTAACACCTAGGCATGTGAATAAAATAATTCAAATGTGGCGTGAGTTAAGCTCATTTCTGCTGTACCTTAATTTTGTATTTTCCCTTCCCGAGCTGCACGAGGTCGTCCGTCGACAGACTGTTGCCGTCCAGGTACATAATCTGAAAACAGGCTCAGTCAGACGGCTTCGCGCCAACATAGTTTGAGAGGAATTTTCGTCTGCCTTCACCACCAGCGACTCACCTGATAAGAAGCAAGCGCGCTTGCCAGAACACAGTATCGATCAAAAATCAGCTGATCGACATTTTCCGTGTAGCGATCATTCATCTCTCGACTCTCATCTATGACGCGATCGATTGACTGGGGGGGGAGTTATGTAGAATCTCATTTTTATATGCGTAACTATTGGTCCTATGTTCGAAATTCAAAAGGTGCTTGAAAGTCAAGGAAAATTGTTGAATTGACCTCGACTGACCTCGAGTCCCTAATGATAGCACGGATCATGTTATTTTCAGAAGATCATAGTGAAGTTCAGGGCGTGGTCAGGTCAGATCAGAAAAGGCCGGATGATAATCCTTCGATGGGAACACTAGCCTGTTGCTGTTTACGGCCCAAGTAGTGTTTATTTCTTGTTTCTACATGAGAAGTGGTTAACTACTGGCCTTTAAAAAAGATACGAGCATTTCCAACCCAAAGCACAAGCTAATTCCATGCACACTTTATTTTTATTTCAATAACCATGAGTAAGTTGGCTTTTACCGTACACTAAACAATGTGAACCGAACTATGTGTAATCAGTATTCATTTTAAATACAGAAAGTAAGGCCTTTTATGTACTGTTTTAACAGAAACACATATCACCACTGTCATATCTCGCCCAGCTGTTTAACACTGTGTTCCACTCGCGGTCGGTCCGCGGTCGTCCGTTCAGCTGAGCCAGTCGGCGCCGGACGAGGCCGGCGGTTTCGGCGAGCTGGTGCCTCCCGTGAAGTTGCTCATCCAGTCCGCGCCACCGGAGGCGGGCGGTTTGGGCGAGCTGGCACCGCCAAAGTCGCTCATCCAGTCGGCCGCGGCCGGCTTGGGCGAGGAGGCGCCAGACGGGGCCGGGCTACTGGCGAACAGGTCCGACATGAAGTCCTTGCCGGCAGCCGGAGAGGCCGGAGGTGCCGGCGCGGCCGGAGTCACGGGAGGTGTGTCGGAGTCGCTGCTGTCGTCGCTGCTGCTCTCTGAGCCCGCCTTGGCGGCTGGTGCCGGCGCTGGCTTGGGTTCCTCTACCTTGACCTCAACCTTTGGTGGTTCATCCTCGTCAGCCTTGTCCGACTTGGCTGCCTTCTTTGTAGCGGGTTTCGCCTTCGGTTTCGGCTTTGGTTTTGGTGCCGGCTTGGACTTGAATTGTTTCGAGGGAGATGGCGCGCTTGCTGGCTTCGAAGGAGACCTGTAGGCTCCCCCCGGACCAGGCGTCGAAAACTGTTGAGCCATATGGCAGCAACAGCAGCATGGCCTCCTTCTTCTCCTAGACCTCTGCCTTGGCTTTAGCTTGGGCTTGGGTGCAGGCCTACTAAGAGGTTTTCTCTGGGGTGATTTACGGCGCGGGGGACATTTTTTCGCAGGTGGTTTGCCAGACTCTTGTTTGCAACTCCTGTGAATGTCTTGAAATATTTCACAAGGCATACTGTTTAAAAGCTGAGCTGTTTGTGGAGGAAGTTTTGGGACCCACATAATGGGGAGGTTCATTGGGTCTGGAACACGCACTGTAATTGTTTGCTGGGGCACTGGAGACGGTGCTTCACTCGGACAGAGTTTGGCCTGGGGGTTACGTAAACGCTTTTCCATTGAAGCCAAGCCAATCGTGGGTAATTTAGGACGTTCAGGGCAAGGAAATCGCTTTCTTTGGTTGCAATCTTCTTCAGAATAATCGTCTCCTGAGCCATCAATGCCACATTCACCACACGCGGAGTATATTGCAGACATCCATTGTTCTACAGTAAATGGTATCTTAAGCACTCTTGGAAGAAGTTCTCTGGCCAACACGTCAAGCTCCTTATCAATTTTGCCAGACTTCTGGTTGGATTTTGTCTTCGCAAAGCCTGCCTGGTTGTAAGGCATTTGCCCTTGCATGCTGTTAGAACTGGTTGTGGCTAGACTATCACAGGAGCTCACACTACCGGCTTTCCTTCTATACATTTTTTGATTGCCCTGTGATAAAAACGTTTTCGCAAATAATTTACATACCGGCGCAATAGACTGTGAACGATTTATAGGTGGGGTGCCTGTCGAGTACATCTCATAACTCTTTAATTTTTTCAAAATGCATAAACATTTACTCAGAGATTTGGCGTAATAAAATGAGAATCGCCGAAATCTTTTACATTTGCTTTATTTTCTTCAGACATCACTCGTGATTATGGAGAACATGATCCCTCCCTTTTTGCAAAACACATGTTTACTGCGAATTGCGATCTTTACTTTTGGTATACTTTTGGTTTCCTTTCTTTACTTTCGGTTCACTACGGTAGTAGTTGCTATTTTTGCAGAGGAACCTGTCACTGGTCATGAAAAGAAACATTAAAACTGTACTGCTATAGGCCATAAGACTTGCTATGAATGAATAATGACGTCAATTACCAGCGACTGAATTGGGTATTTTCAAACACGACATAGGCGCTGAGGAGGGGGGCATTTGTTGTCCGTCTCTGATTTGCAAACTGGAAGGAACCAAGTTTTAAACCGATGGTTAAAATGTTAACGATGTTAAAAAGATAGTTCAGGAAATTTTCCTAACAGATCAGGCTTGGCATCACTGGGCCATGACTGGGCGATGGGATCACGGATCGGATCAAATAGTAATGTGTTGTTTCGCAATCATAGCATATTGCTGCAGCATCGTTCATTTGTGCTATGCCATATTAGGCAATGACATAATTCTAATATGAAGAATTGCAATGAGTCACATTTGAATTATGACATCACAGGTACGAGGTCAGATTACAACATAAACAAAAGAAATTCATTATGGTCGCAAAAGTAGCATATTTTTTACGAACTATTTTGCATTCATATTTCATCGGCGACATCGCCTAACCATTGCAGTAAGGACAATGTTCAAGTCAAGTCAACAGGCCAAGCGAAGGCAAACCAGCCTACCATCGAAGTGGTAACTGACAATAGTGCTCACTAAAATCTGCTTACCTGCGTCGGTTCCTCGCCATTTTGTGACTCACTGAAATGCGCCGTTAAGGAAATTTTCGGCACAGAAAACAAGCATATAACTTCAACAACTTTCACGTGTCTGACACGACACCAATACACAACACCAATAATCAATAGTTAACAATGACACATTATGCACGACTCCGCACGCACTCGTTTGAAAGGATACATTTGCTCGGGCACATATCTGATTTCGGCGCTCTCTGTGATGGGGTTGGGACGGTCGCTCTCCAGCACTGCAACATAGTCCATGGTTACACACGAGGATGTGACGGAAAGCTGCGAATATCAGAATACAGCAACATGACACAATGTGGACGATAGATCCGGATACACAACGAAACGGAGCGAGCAAGAAAAAAAAACTGAAGGTTACACCTAGATTATACATACATAGGTACCTCAGACCTGCGCATTAGTTACGTTTGTCCCCATTACAAGTGCGCTTTTGTCGATGCTCTATATGCATCAACTGGCATCAACTGCGTAGTGCATATATTTTACGACATGCCTCTTCGCAGTACTCTTTACACCGCATTGTGCTATGCGCATCTCTCAGTTTTAAACGAAGGTCAGTATTTATTATTCGAAAGTTCCCCGTCGTCATTTACCATGTAAAAATTCCCCGTTGTGATTTGCAAGTCCATTATTTCACGAAGCAATGACGTAGCAAACAAAGGTAAATCAAACATGTATGCCTGAACGGGGCCTCGTCTAGCAACGCAGATAATGTCCCTCTGCCAAGACCTGCGCTGCCCCCCCCCCCCCCACATACCGATCGAGACGAAGTCGTTATCATCCAGCACGTCCGAGACGAGGTCCTGTCGGTCGAGGATGGCCCCGCCGCGTGTTTTGCGCACCTCGGCCACCACCTGCGGTCGACCGGTGTAGGTGGCCGGGCGGAGCCGCTCATAGCGCCGCAGCGCCTCCTCGGACAGCCACTGGACGCTGACATTACCTGACGGGCCGACGGAGGACCGGAGAGAGGTCAGTAGGGGGTGAAAATGCAAGAGGTAACTGGAGGGGCCACTGGACACTGACGTTACCTGACGACCCGGCATCGGATGGGGCAGGGGTCAGTAGGAGTACATGCTTATTGCTTATGCAGGGTGCTGTAGGGATGCAGTGGAGGGGCCACTGGACGCTGACCTTACCTGACGGCCCGGCGTTGGGCCAGGGCAGAGGTCAGTAGGGTACAGGGGTGAGGTCAAAATGGCAGAGGTAGCTGGAGGGAGCACTGGACGCTGACGTTACCTGACGGGCCGGTAACGGACCGGAGAGAGGTCAGTGGAAGTGAGGTCAGCTGTCGGGGTGGCGCAGGCAGTCGGAAGGACCACTGGACGCTCACTCACTAACGCTCACTGGTGCCAGATAGAGGCGACTCGGTTTAAAGCGAAACTTCAATAGACTTCATGGAGGGTCTAGCCGGTTAAAAACGGCACAATTTCGACAACTCCTATTTGGTAGGCGCACGTGCAGGTACGGGCACCTGGATGCTTCAAGAGTAATCAATTTATGGGTGTAAGGGATAAAGCCACCCAGCGGAGAAAATGCTGTTGTAAAACAGACGAACTTTTGCGAAGAAAGTATCCTCTCAAAATAGTTACAGACCTGGCTTCCTCGCACTTCGTACTCCCGCATTCATCAATCAGCACTGGTTAAATCCTGATTTTGCGCTTATTCGTAACATTTGAGATCACGGCTTAACCTTCGCCCCAGTGCAGTGGGGGGGGGGGGGGCATATGTTACCACCCTGTCGCGTTTTTCGCGTGTGAATAAAAAACCGTGGCGCGTAGCGCCGCGCCGCTTAGGGTAGCTTTTTGTACATCAATTTTGGACAATGTGTGAAATTTTTGGCCCCAGGTCATGTCAGGTCAGGTCACCAGGTCAAGTTAACTGACCAAGCCTAACAAAGTTTGCAATCATGTCCAGCCTGCAGTGTTTGTCAGAAAGGTTTCAAACTTGGTGGATTGCATGATGTTATGGGCGCCTACAATTTGTATATCTCGGATTTTTTATATCCGTGACCTAAGGTCAGGTCAGTGGCGTGACCTTACCATTATAAGTCAATGGAGAAAAATGAAAATGCCTCTAGATCCGTATGTACGCATAGGAACAGTCCAAATATTTCAGAATCACAATGATTTGGACCATCCGTGACGACCAGGGTGTCGTTATTGCTGATAGCCTCTAGAAAGGTCATCCGAGGTCATTTGAGGCTACAAACAGATTTTTGCCAATAACTCTCGATCGGAAAGAGATAGAACGCTGGGGATGGTCTCATTGTGTTTGTCTTGCCGAGACGCATCGACTGATATGCAACATGACCTTTTCCGGTCAGGTCATGACCTTGACCTGAGGTCAAATTTTCAAGTTGACCTTTGCAAGGTCAAATTATAGTTCATTCGATGCGTCTTGGCGAGAGGAACACGATCCTGGCAATAGAAATGTCGTGGCTTTTTTTAGTCAAAAATTATTGTCGAAAAACACTTTTCGTAAAAACAGCTATTTGGAGTTTTTGCCCTCTGGAGGCTAAACCGTTGACCTGAGGTCAATTTTGATGATGATCTTATCGAAAGAAGAGTTCAAGAGCTATCGATTGCTTTTCCATGCGTTTTCCTAGCTATCATAGTTCCTGAGATAAATGCATGTTTTCGGAAAAATATAATGACATTTGACAAATTTTGACTTTTGATGACCTCCAGTGACCCCAATATTGCTCTAAGATGAAAAATGACCGAAATACTTTCAAACTTACGCATTGAGAGCTATCGATTGCTTTTTACCGCGTCTTTCTAGCCCTCTTAGTTTTTGAGTTAGAGGTGGGTGGTAACACATGCCCCCCCCCCCCCCACTAGGGCGAAGTTGGCTGAGACCGCCACTGGGGCGCGGGCTAAACCCGAGATACAACATTTAGCTCAGGGAACCATCTTTTTAACAGATCCAACGAATGTTGTTTGTTTGATTGGTTGATGACCGTTTAACGTGGAATAGTGACGCGTTATTAACCCTATTCCTGGCGGGCTCCGCCGGGACAAGAAACTGGCGGGGGGGGCCCGATTCGCCCCCCCCCCTGAGATCTCGAGAACGAAGCAAGATAGCGACAAACGGTAAACGGCATCGGATACGCACGGTCAAGATCTACAATTTTTACTAAGGTCATTTTCAGGTCAGGTCAAAGATGACGTCACAGGGGTCGAAAAAGTCAAAATGGCGGCGCTAGATATGGAGATAGTTTTTCTCGAATAACTTTCGAATTAGTCAATATAGGAACAAACTAAGGGCATCATCGTGATCCTCTCGTCAATCCGCATCGAATGATATATGTTGACCTCGCAAGGTCAAGGTCAAAGGTTGACCTCAGGTCACGTGACCTCGAGGTCATCATGTATATCATTCGATGCGTCTTGACGAGCTGAACACAATGAGACCATCCACGCGTCTGTATCTTGTTCCTGTACGGAGTTATTGGCCAAAAACCTTTGGTGACCTTTGATGACGTCACATGACCTCACAGCTGCCCAACAGCAAAACAGACCTCAAGGTAGTGAAGGTTGATCGTATATGAAGTCATGTATGGTATATGGGGCCATTCCGACCCGTTTTAGTGGTAAAAACAGGGAGTTGATTTTTCCCCCATTGACTTATAATGGGGAGGTCGCGAAACTGACCTGACCTTAGGTCACCGATATCAAAATTCCGAGATATACAAATTGCACATACTGGTACCCTAACTAAAGCCTGAAGAGAAGAAATTGATCGGTCAAAAACTCTAGCTCTGGCGTGATTGCAAACTTTTCTGAGGTAGGGTCACCAAACCGCCTCTGGTGACCTGACCTGAGGTCAGATCAACTCAAAATTTTCAGACATGTTGCGTAGAAGCCTTTTAGGAAAAGTCAGAAAATTTGAGCTTCCTAGCTCAACGCGTTTGGGAGAAATATCCAAAAAACCTCAGGGGGGGGGGGCTCCTGAGGCCCCCCCCCCCCGCCAGGAATAGGGTTAAGTACCGCCTATAGGCACAATGTCAAGCCATTACGTCATTCAGTCGACTTCCTCATATCTGTCTAGTTTTTAACAACACACTTTCTCAAAGGTGAACGATTCCCTTTAACCGGTTCCTTTGACGCCGTCGGCATAGATGCCTGCAAGACAAGACTTGGCAAGTTGCTTGACCCATGCGTGATTTAGGAGTATTCCAAGCTCACAACTGTTAGACCACACGAGCTTGTGCCTTTTTGTAACTCAAAGTATACGTATTGTTGAGTGCTAAAAACGTTTCTGTCAAAGCTTTCCTTCCAATAGAATATTCGCATCTTTTGCAAGGATATTCATACTTCATCCATCATATCCATGTGTTTTATCCATCATATTTCATGCTGTATACTTTTATCACAGTGTGTCTTGTTCTTAGTATATACTTTTATTAATTAGTCATATTTATATTAGGTATATTTTTATAGCAGGTATATTTTCACCATATTCATTTTTATTAGGTATATGCTTGTATTGTGTAGGCATGTAGCATGCAAAGCTAGTAGACTCTTATCTATTCTTGCTTTCGATGAATTCGTATGTTTTTGACTTCGCCTTTCAATGGGCACTGCCTGTTGGCGATGTTGTGAAATAAACAAATAAACAGATACAACGTAGGCCCTCACCTATTAAAAAGTGAAGTCATGGGCCACGGTTGTTAAACATAGCACGCTATATAAATATCAACTTGACGATAACTCGTCAGGCAAACAAGGGCCGATTTTATGGCGAGCTTTTATACTCGTATCTGTGTTACGTTTAGGTACTTTATCATTCACATGTGGCGGATATTGCAATTTGCCCGTGTTCGAAAATTAAATAAATTACATTGAAAGGTGGAGTAAGGTCTAAGTAAACCCCTTCTCTCTTTTCTGTCAATACTCTTATGTAGCAGCTAAGAAGCGTAGAGCTTTGCATGCCAACTGAGAGACCGAGAGGGTTTATTGTGAGACGACGCACAGCTAACTGTTTGGTACTCACCCTTCTGACAGGGGACCATGAGCCACTCGCCGCGCACCCTGACCGAAATCTTCACATTCTTGCCCTGACTGCCACCGTTCTCCGTGGGCCGTTCCGCCATAATTGCGAACAAAGACCAACTAACTGAGCCAATTAAATCACCACAACGTCTTACTGAAGATCGGTCCACTCGCGTCTACCGTGGTGTTCCCGACACCACCTCTTGATCAGCTGGTGACGATCCGTGCCCCCGCCACTGTCTGATGACGCCGGCTGTCGGCCCAGGGTCGACACCGGGGCTTGGCAGGGGCACGACAGGACCGGCCCCCGGCACCCACCAATGGGAGCACGCCGAGCCACGACGCAGCCGGACCGGACCGGGTATCGGGCCGACCGATCGGCGACGGAGACGGGTCACGAGGCCCGATGGCCGCCCAGATACGGGGGTGAGTGGACACCAGAGGACGGGCTGCTGCCGCCGGACGACAGTGACATGGGATGACTGACACGGGCACTGGCATAGACCGGAGAGACTGTGGGTGGGGTGAAGCAAACGGGAACTGTTATTGGCAGCTCTGGTTAGAGACTGTTAAGAGCTGATGATTTTGAAGCATGCACCAAATAGGACGCCAAGAAGAAGTGATAGGCACTATGCCCCCATAATGGCGAAACAGCGGTGCACCAAGGCACAGAGCCCTCCCCACTCCCTTGAACTGCAAGGAAAATAGGTGCTTGTCAATATCAAAAGGCTGTCTTTCAAACTGATTCTTCACAATCCTTTTCAAACTCGATAATTTATGTGCCGTTTTCGAATATTAGTTGTACTAATAAACGGTATACTCGCAATGATGCAAATGTGCCTTTTCGTGAGCATGAGGTACCAAATAGTACGAGAACGCATTCAAACTCAGTAGCGGCGGAACACCTTCAAGTAAGGGGGCACTGCCGACTTTTTGTCCCATTCTTTCCATGCAACGCCCATAGGGCTAATGTTAAAATGCCAAAATCAAAGGGGGGTACGGTGCCCCGGTGCCCTCCCCGTTCCGCCGCCTATGTTCAAACTGCCTCCCTGTCCTAATCGCTCAACTGACTAATTATATAAGCTGCCATGCTTTCGATGCGTAGCTCGTTAGTCGTTAGTCACTTCTACGGAGCGTAGCTCGTTAGTCGTTTATAAGACAGGTTTAATCGGTAGATAGTAGTGGCGTCCCAGCAGCACTAACGACCAACAATAATAAATATGGAATATCAGGACTCCGCTATCGATTGGCTCATAGGTGAGCAGACACACCCGATTTCACTTTGAACAAACTGAGCCAATACCGCGACATATAGGATTATATATCAGGACTATTCAACAAGTACCAGGGTACCCCATCCGATATTTACATAAGATACCCACGTAATGACTTGATTCTGCGCAAGTGACTGCTCAAGACAAGAAAACTGCGTCTGTCCATCAATAGCTAGGCCCGGCTGGTGCTTGGTGCCGGGTGCCAGATGGCCGCTGCGCTCGGCGGCGGTGCTGGGTCGCCGCTCTCTGGAACGACCGCTGACTCGTCTTTTTGATCTCGTCTTTGCGTTACCGTCTGGTAAGGCACTGTCAAACTCCCCAATATAACCTTTAACACTAACTGTCCGTATTCTAACAAAACTAACACGTGAATCCTTATCCGACCAATCCCGTTTGACAGTGCCATAAATTATAAATTGTTCAATGTGTGATTCCAAATTATATTCAATAAACGGAACGGAATGGAACGGAACGGAACGGAACGGAACAAATGCACAGAACGGTATCCTGGAGATTGCAAGAGATGCACAGAACAGCATCCTAGAGACTACATTAGACGCATAGAACAGTATCCTGGAAATTGCGACAGTCACAGAACATTGCCATAGAAACTGCAATAGACGCACAGAACATATCCTAGAGACTGCAACAGACGCACAGAACAGTATCCTAGAGACTGCAACAGACGCACAAAACATATCTTGGAGACTGCAACAGCAGCACAAAACATATCCTGGAGACTGCAACAGGCGCACAAAACATATCCTAGAGACTGCAACAGACACAAAGAACATAGCCGGGAGGCTGCAACATACGCACAAAGCAGTTTACTGGAGACTGCATTAAACACAGAACAATATCCTGAAAACTGCTTCCCACATAAAAACAAATATCCTAAAAATAGCGTTAGAAAAAGAGAAGAATATCTTCGCGTTCGATGTCTCTCGGACGACGAAGATTCTACGCCGTTCGGCCAATCACGTTCCATAACCGCAGCCGAGCCCCATCTGACCATAGTATTCTATGACCGTGCCTCTGACCTTGAGCGGGATTGGCCGGACGACGTAGAATCTTCGTCGTCCGAGAGACATCGAACGCGGGGTAAGTTAGAGAACGCGTAAACGGTAAAACTAACAAAGCCAGGCGACAAATGTCAAAATTAAACCAATATAAGAGTCATGTAGAATTTTGAAATGCCGACCATTCTCCTCAACACTTCTTATAACTATAAAGAAGCCATCCCTGTTGAGTCCTTTTTGGAGGTCGTCTGCTGCCTTTCTAACATGCAAATGGACATACGATCAAAAATTACGATATCAAAATGCCGATTAGAATAGATGTTTTTCGGCTTGGTTACCGGTGCTCAAAGTCACCCACCAGCCTAGAAGGCATCATCTATACTCCCCATCACTTTTTGGTTCTGTAACTGGCTGAAACCGGAATGGCCCGGCACGTGCGCGGTGCGGGCCGGGCTCGCGGTGAGTCCCCAGTGTCGCTGGAAACACCGAGTGGGGTCGGATGCTGCGACGTTCGGGCTGTTCGCCGATGCTGATGCGAATAAATGCATGGTATGCACATGACGTGTGTCTGTGGGTGAATGTTGTATGCAAACCAAATGCGTCACGTCAACAACAAATCCTTTGACTACGTCTTAGGTACGTGGAATAATCACCGTTTCAAACTTCACGCTTCACGGTTCACCCCCCCCCCCCTCCCATCTATCCCCGGTGCGATTGGCGTCGAGCATCGGCCCGGCGCGGGTTAATGAAGGTTGTCAAGAGCTTAACCCGCGCCGGGCCGGTGCTCTGAGATTCCGCGCCGGGCCGGGTGTCTGAACACCCCCTTCTAACTCGGCTCCTGGGCCACGTAGCGACACGCGGTAAGCGGCAATCGAAAGAACGTCCAAAATAAGGACGAAAACACCTGGTCATTTTTTCGGTCAGGTCAAAGGTCAGGGCACCAGAGGTCACCAAAGGTAAAATGTTGACTATTTCAACCTTTTGGAAACTGCCAACGGCTATCTCGGGAACCGATAGAGCTACAGCGCCGCAGAAAAGCGCATTCGATAGCCCTTTTACAGACCTTTCTGACTAATGTTCTCAGATTTCACCTCAGGTCAACGGTTTAGCTTCCAGAGTGCAAAAACTCCAAAAATAGCCGTTTTTACGAAATCGTTTTTTTTTCGGTAATAACTTTTGACTCAAAAGAGCCATGACATTATTTTTGCCAGCATCGTGTTCCTCTCGTCGAGACGCGTCGAATGAACTATAATTTGACCTTGAAAGGTCAAGGTGAAAATTTGACCTCATGTCAAGGCATGACATATCAGTCGATCCGCATTCCGCAACGTCGAGCCGAACACATCTAAGGCGTTTTCAGCGCTCTAGCACGCCTCTATCAGAAGTTATTAGCGAAAAACTGTTATATTCTGTTCGTGACCTGAGATGGCCTCGGGGACATAACGAGGGGTCACAGTTGTTATTTTCCGGTTCAGTGTGTCAATTTTACCTACATATCAATGTTTGAGAGTGTCTAGAATAGCGTTCGAGCAAAACAGACGCTTTTCAATTTTCTCCCATTGACTTATAATGGAGAGGCCGCAATATTGACCTGACCTTAGGTCACCGATATCAAAATTCCGAGATAAACATTTGATAGATATTGTTGCTCTAATCAATCGCTGAAAGTTTCAATGCAATCGATCAATCGGAAGTGATGTAGCTATGACGAGCATTCTCATTTTTTTCTGAGGTGTGGTCACTTGGCGTGACCTGGTGACCTGACCTAAGGCGACCTGGGTCTGAAATTTTCACAACATGTGCGGAAAAGATGCACAAACAGGTGTGCCAAAAACCGCAGGGGGGTGTTCAAACACCCCCCCCCCCCGGCCCGGCGCGGGTTAACCATAAAAGGCTACAGTGCAAGATTGGTGTGAGCTCTATACGAACTCAAAAACAATTTTGCATTTGACAAATATTTGTGTGTGACTCCTTTGAGGATTATTCGAGAACGGATGGCCGAAGCATAGCATAATTTTTCGGACGAATTATCCCCTATGGCATTAAACTGCACCTGCAGCGCTACGAGCTCCAGTTCGGCAGGAGGGTCTCCTCATTTCGCGCAGCTTCTGCCTGGATCAGGCAGTAGGCACGTAGCCACGAGCCCAGGGAGGGGCCACAAGTCGCGGCCTAGTGTCGTACGCGCTCCAAAACGGAAAACTTCTCGGAGCTGGCCCACTATTTTTGGCGGTGTGGGGTAGCTTTTCTTATTTATTTTTACTTTTTATTAAATTTTATTTTATTTTTCGCCTTCAGGGGGATAGCCCCCGTGCCCCCCCCCCTTGGCTACGTCACTGGCCTGGATCGCGCTCCCGAGATCAGTGTACGACTCGCCAAAGTAAAACATTGCACGCTTTGTGAGTCACTGTTTTCGTCTTTTTATCGCGTCTCTTTTCATTTTTTATCTGGTGCATTTTATTGATAAATTTATTGTGGCCTAATGTGAATCAAATGTGAGTCTTGTATGTTGCGCTTCGTCCCATGTGGGGCCGTTACAGCCACGATGCGGAAGGCTCTTATTATCGGAGCGAGCGAAGCGAGCGTAGTCTTTCCTTAGATTAACGGAAATTTCTGAGTATGAGCGGCCGGCCGGCCGGCCGGCCGTGCGGACGCTTTTGCGAGGCTTATATCTCAGCAACCACTTACATGCGGTAATTTTTGTAGGGTAGCTTCATTCCTTCTACCAAGTATTGGACTATTCCCGATGCATGTGGGTGACCCCTTATGCACGTGCCACGTGCAAAACGAGGAGGTGTCACTTTTGTAATTGTTGCAATATCTCTGTAACTACTTGGCCGATTGCGCTGAAAGTTGGCATGTAGGTAGGCACCCACTAGGCACTGCATATCCATGTGCCAGAGTTGGGGTGCTGCTGCACGTGCGCTGCTGCACGTGCGCACGTGCAGGGGTTGTTTCCAGATCTCGAGAACGGCTCGACCGATTGCGCTCAAATTTGGTACACAGTTAGGGACCGGTTAGTAGGGTGCCGTGCACAAGTCAGTTGGGACCCATTTTGCACGTGCGCACGTGCAGGGTGCCGCTTCCAGATCTCGAGAACGGCTGGGCCGATTGTGCCCAAATTTGGCACATCGCTAGAGACCGGTTAGTAGGGTGCCGTGCACAAGTCAGTTGGAGGTACCCCCTCGCAATTTCGCACGTGCAAGACCCACCCTCTCGCTCTCTCCGTTAGTCGCCCCAAAAGGCGTTATACTGGTTACGGAGCGAGCGAAGCGAGCGGAGTCTTTCCGTAGATTAACGGAAATTTCTGAGTATGAGCGGCCGGCCGGCCGGCCGGCCGTGCGAACGCTTTTGCGAGGCTTATATCTCAGCAACCACTTGACCGATTTACATGCGGTAATTTTTGTAGAGTAGCTTCATTCCTTCTACCAAGTATTGGACTATTCCCGATGCATGTGGGTGACCCCTTATGCACGTGCCACGTGCAAAACGAAGAGGTGTCAGTTTTGTAATTGTTGCAATATCTCGGTAACTACTTGGCCGATTGCGCTCAAATTTGGCATGTAGGTAGGCACCCACTAGGCACTGCATATCCATGTGCCAGAGTTGGGGTGCTGCTGCACGTGCGCACGTGCAGGGGTCGTTTCCAGATCTCGAGAACGGCTGGCCCGATTGTGCCCAAATTTGGCACATCGCTAGAGACCGGTTAGTAGGGTGCCGTGCACAAGTCAGTTGGAGGTACCCCCTCGCAATTTCGCACGTGCAAGGTCCACCCTCTCGCTCGCTCCGTTAGTCGCCCCAAAAGGCGTTATACTGGTATGTATAGTACTACTCCACCTCCGAAATTGAGTTCCCAGTATCGCAATGGGAGAGCTTTTGAAACACGCTGGTAGTGGGAGCCCGGTTCGAGCCGTTTTGGCGCTCAAGTGCTTGCTGCCGACGGGCATGGCCTTTACGTGGCGACATCGATCGTATTACTTGGCCAAATGAACTCGGTGAATGGGATGGACTGTGCTCTATTATATTACAGCGAACCGGGTTAATCGAAAATTAAACAGGGAAAAAATTATTTTGAGATATAATAAAACGCCCAACTCAACTTCATAAATAAACAATCGAGAAAAAAATTCGCCAAGCAGCATGTAACTCACCAACCATATATTTTCAACACAAAACAAACCTGCTCAGCCTGAGCAAACACAAGTCGCGCGTTGGAACGAATCCCTGCCGTCCTGGCGTCAGCGACGGCGGCTCATCTCCATCGTCCCCGTGTCAGCGGCGCTCCGGCCATGTCGGCCGCCCACCCCGATCTCTATCGACGCCGTCATGGACCGGTGACTGTATTATGATGAGCGGCTGCCTCTGACCGGTCAGGGTCCGACCAGTGAGGGTCTCTCCGACCCTCACACGACCACCTGTGGCAGCGGCGCCGACGCCGGCGCCCCCCTGCCGCCGGCCGGCCCGCCCGGCACGGCCGCCTGCGACAGGTGCTCGAAAGAGGACGCCTCCGACCAGGCATCCACGTCGCTGATGACCGGGATGGACGGGGCCGACGGCGTCCAGCCCGTCGCCTGAGATGTTGTGGGATGGTCCTCCGGCACAGGTGTGGCCGCGGAGACCGGGCGACGCCAGCACCGCATCTGGATGGGACAGGAGAGGGTCTTAGGATAGAACGGTGAGGATGGAAGAGTGGGAAGGTTTGAGAGGATCGCATCTGAATCGGCACAGGTTGAGATGCATTCCCCTAGTCTTAGGATTGTGTGCGGAAGAACTGGGGAACAATGAGAACAACACACGGGGGCCGCACAGGATCGGGCCTTAGGAGCTTCCTACGAAAGGAAGCGTAGGGAGGATGGATTGAATAGAAAGATTTGAGAGAAATCGTAGGTAAAAGTCCTGCGAAAACATCTTATCTATCTGAATTAATAAATCACCAAATAAAGCTTCAAATAAAATACAAACATAGAGAGGTTGACACAAATCAATTAAAACATTTCGTTTTACAGGATGTGTGGGCATTTAACAAACGGTGAATTTATATTCCGCTGAATATATCACCGAAAGGTCATTCATTGCCTGTGCGCTCATTGTCTGTGTCCACTGTCTGGCACGTAGCATGTTTACGGTAGGTGTTATATTGTCTGGAGGTGAATGTCTCCCGCCATGGAGAACCAGAAACGACATCACAACTCACAAGACTTTGGTAATAAAAACTAAGACATCTCCCCGAAGTTGGCCATCGGTTGACTGACGAACAAAGGGCACCGTTCGCACGCCGCCCTGTCACGGATTGTTCCGGCCGTCCAGGGCTGGTATCGGCCATTGCGTGCTCCCTGAGTGACACAGTGACTGATACAATGCACCCAGGACGGCAGAATGCGCCCAGTGCTCAGCCGTGGGGCGGGAATGTCTTCCAGATGAATGATCTGCGGATACGGCGGCGCTCAAACGGGGCCTACGTAGAACGGAGGCCATGGGACTCCGGCTGGACAGGTGACTCACTGAGGGAAGCGGCTACTGGGGCGCTACAGAGCTCAAAACAACCGCCACCTGCGATAAAGGCCACGGGGGTGATAACCATCCGGCCTTAGAATTTAAAGTGGCAATCAATTTAACTGCCAACAAGTTTTGTTTTATATTTTAAGTGGGAAACGCTTTACTGTTCAAGATACCGACACCGATCAACCGTTCAGTTAAGAATTGGAGGAAAGCATAAATAAATATTTTGGGCTTCGCGGCATTATTTCACAGTCTGTCATGCCAGAGCTATTGGGACCAGTGACAGTATGTGACATCACTTTGTCCTCTGTGTAACATGGCCACTGTATGACCTCTGGTTTGTGACCTTTATGACCTCCGTACGACCCGTGTGACCTCACCTGCGCGGACGGCGGCAGTCCGAGCGCCGACAGCGGTCGCTCGTAGGTGTCCTTCAGGGGTCTGGCCGGGGGCCGTCGCGGGTTGGAGGAGGGGGTGTGTACGGCACAGCAACGGACGGTGACGGCCATCAGAGTCGCCAGGCAGGTCACGATCAGAAGCACCGCCCACCACTTGTACTGGGGGGAGTACAGAGGGGACAGAAGTGTCAGCATTGCTCAGGACTTGTACTGGGAAACAGAGGACAGCCGTGTGACCAGCACCGTCGACCACTCGCACTGGGGGACACACAGAGGACAGAGGTGTAGGGGAAATACAGAGGACAAAGATGCAACCCGCACCTCCCACCATTTGTTCCGGGGTAATGCACGTAACAGCAGCCTAACCAGCATCGCTTGCCAATTTACTGGGCATTAGACGGTACAGAGGTGTCACGCCCTGTTCACCACTTGGACCATAAATTTCACATTAAATCCCCTGCACGCCATGCGACATCACAAAAGCAAGACTCCAGGTATGTGAAAATTTGACCTCTTAAGCTCTGAAGTAGCTAAAATGGGCACGCTTCCTTTGCCCATGACGTCCCGCGTCATCTATGGACAGAAACTGTCAACACTTTGTATCCTTATTGACTATTCCGAAACTCGTCTTCTACTGACTTTATCTAACAGTCCGTCTTTCACTGACTTTACGTCCAACAACCTGCATCCCTAATTGAATATTCTCACCGCCCAGCACCCGCATACCACTGACTCTCCCCCTTCCTACCTGCAGCCACTGGAGCAGATCGGCACGCCCCTCGCCGGTGAACAGGAGCCGGTGAACGGTGGCCAGCGGTCCCCGCTCCCTATACCTCCGACAGCGTCCGAACACATCGCAGTAGCCTCTGTCGGCGTCACAGCCGGAGCCGGGCGGCAGGCGCACCCCCGACCCGCCGGTCGGGTCAGAGGGGTCGGACAGGTCACTGGAGTTACCGGCCGGGAGCAGCGTCCGGCACGGAGCGTCTGACGACCCCGGCTGGCGACACGCCACTTCACACAGCGTTATAGCGTTCTGCAGGAAGAAGGGGAGTAACAGCGTGAGTGAGTGAAGCTAAGGCACAAAGAAAAACCAAATTCGTCTTCAGCGAATTCGGTGACACAGCTTCACGCAGATTTTCCATGCAAAACTGGCCGGAAATAACTGTTAACTTTGCTTTCGCCCTTCAAGCTTCGATATCTAGTACGGTGTATGTCTCTCCTTGATGGGCTGTGCTGTGACTGACCTGAGTGTCGTTGAAGGTGAGACCACACTCCTCCAGTCCCGTCTTCAGGCAGACCGATCCCTGGCACAGACCTGACAGGCAAACCTGCAGAGCACATACACAGATAAACAGTGATCTGACAGGCACAGCAGACCCATCCCTGGCACAGAGGAGACGAAAGGACGTACGTACGTACCTGGTAGAACAGGTCATAACAGAACGGTTAACTGCAATAAATCTAAGCTACCCAGCACTAAAGCTTAGCGATGATCGAGAAAGCATTACAGACCTTCGAATGGGGTTAAAGGTAGTGTGCCAGCTTTCCTGGACCGTATGGAGTTAATGGCCCAGATAAGGAGAACCGGATTTTTAGAACTTATCCATACCTTCAAAACTCATGGAAACGTCTTAAATTCTTCAAATTTTGAGTACCCCAGTGCGAAATTCGCCCCGACGGGTTGTCGGTCGTACCCCAACCACATTTCACACCACTATGAACAATAAATGCACACACTGAAATCGCTATTACCGATATGCTCATCCAATCAAGTTTCGATAAACCCATTCATCATCATATCCTGCGGTTTCGAACACGCCTGTTAGGTGGTGCGGTAGACCGCGCCCAAAGCCAGGGCCCCGGTAACGTGAGGTAGCCGAGTCGGGGCAGCGTGCACTGACCCAAGCCGGGGCCGCGCGTCCTCCCGGTGTCATGTGATAGCCCGGGGCTGCCCGCGGGGATACGGTAGACCGCGCCCAAAGCTGCGGCCCCGGCTTGGGTCAGCGCACGCTGCCCCGACTCGGCTACCTCACGTTACCGGGGCCCTGGCTTTGGGCGCGGCTTCTGCTCATACTTTGTGGTGCGGTGGTGGTGCGTCGGGCCGCGCGCTCTGACTTCGGCCAAGAAAAATGCGTCAGCTGATCATTGTCATTTCTGCCACTTGCGTGTGATGAAATGGGGTCATAACTTAAGAGACGGCTTTTTCATATCAATTATTTTACATAAAATCATATTTCAAACCATAAATAATGTTCGACAGCCAAATAAAAGAAACAATACCAATACAGGCTTACAGTTTAAGGCTCGACATTGTGTTGTCTACGATTAGACAGCTGATAACTCATTCCCGTACGTCGTAACTCTATAATGACCTTTGCTTATTGTCACATGTGCGCCGCATTCGCGATTGTTGCCGACGCCTGTTTACAGGTCAGCCCACTACAATTGTTATACATATCGAAAAACCGATAAACTTTTAGGCGAAAAAGGCACTATTCCAGGCCCATTTTTGATTTTCTTTGCGATATTAGGTAAAAACAGAAGCTTCTTATCCTAGGAAAAATAAAATGGGAAATCTTTCAAAGGTGGCACACTACCTTTAAGCAAAACTTGAGCAGATATCGCTACATATTAACCCGCGCCCTGCTGGGGGGGGGGGGGGGGTGTTTGAACACCCCCCCCCCTTGTGGTTTTTCGCGAATATCTCAAGAACGGCGGCGCGGAGCGACGCCGTTTTTGGTACACCTTATCATACATCAATTCTACACATGTTGTGAAAATTTCAGACCAAGGTCATTCAAGGTCAGGTCACCAGGTCACTTGAAGTGACCTCACCTCATAAAAAGTTTCAATGTCTGTCATAGCTACACCGAGTGACCGATCGCTTTGAAACTTTCAGCGATTGCTAAGAGCAATAGCATGTACAAAATGTATAGCTCAGAATTTTGATATCGATGACCTAAGGTCAGGTCAATTTTGCGACCTCCCCATTATAAGTCAATGGGAGAAAATTGAAATGCGCCTCTTTTTGACGAAAGACATTATAAACACTCCCAAACACCGAATTACAAGTGGTTTAGACACACTGAACATGAAAATGGTGTCCGTGACCCTTGTTTATGCCCTGAGGTCATCTTAGGTCACGAATGGTATCTAACAGATTTTTGCAAATAACTTTTGATAGAGGCATACTAGAGCGATGAAAACGCCTTAGATCTGTTCAGCTCGACGATACGGATCGACTGATAAGCAACATGACCCTTTCCGGTCAGGTCATGACCTTGACCTGAGGTCAAATTTTCAAGTTGACCTTTCAAGGTCAAGTTATAGTTCATTCGATGCGTCTTGACGAGAGGAACACGATGCCGGTAAAAGTAAGCTCGTACAGGGCTTGGGTCAAAAGTTATTGCAGAAAAACTGTTTCCGAAAAAATCGGCTATTTTGGCAGTTTTTGCCCCCTGCAGGCAAAACCGTTGACGTTAGGTGAAATCTGAGAGAATTACTCAGAAAGGGCGTTAATAGGGCTATCGAATGCGCTTTTCCGCGGCGCTGTATCTCTATTGGTTCCCGAGTTATGCGTTGGCTTCTTGGAAATTTTCGACATTCGACCTGGAAATCGGCGAAATTTTGCCTTCAATGACCTCTGGTGACCTGACCTTTGACCTGACCAAAAAATTGACCGAAGTGATTTCGTCATTATTTTTGACGCTCTTTCGAACACCGCCTTCCGCGTATCGCTACGTGGCCCAGGAGCCGAGTTACAAGGGGGGTGTTCAAACACCCCCCCCCCCCCAGCAGGGCGTGGAAATCCAGGACCCCCAGCTGGGCGCGGGTTAAACTCATGAGATGCGTTTTTTTCTGTTTTGACTTTGCTCGCCCTAGCAGTCTGCGCTACATGCAGTGACTCCCACCTTGGACCCTCCGCGGCACTCTGTGTAGTTGGGACGGTGGACGGCCTCTGGACACAGGGAGCTGGTGCCGTTACACACAGCTCCCAGCTGACACTCGGTGGGTGGACGGCACTGGTGGGCCATCGAGGCCGGGATCAGCCGGCACGTCTCCGGCTGGCAGCACGGACCCTCGCTGGAGCTGGGAAAAAAAGATGTCAGCACGGAGCCTCGTTGGGGAAGAGTAGAGGACAGGATTAGCACAGGCCCTGGTTAGCGCTGGGGATTGGGGAAAGAGGACAGAGAGGGACTGGTGAGCGGAAAAAAATGGATACAAAACTTCAGTAGGGGAGAGTGGGGCACATTCGTGCATGGGGCACATTCGTTTTCAGCAGTTTATGGGAACACGAGTGACTGCACGAGCTCAAGGTAAATTATGGAAATATGTCTATCATTGCCGCCCTTCGTCCACCGTAGAAGACAACACTGTACCTGCTGTCATGCTTGATAACAACGCAAATTTGTAACATTCGTGAGCTTTCCAAACTTTTCTCATATCATCCATTTTCGTGATCCTGACTCGGAAATGTGGTTCAGCTTTTCAAAATTGGGGGTGAAGAAGCCCACTCTATTCACGGAACTGCTGCAAACTTGTTTGTTGAAAAAGTCATTTTTTCAAAAAGAAATTTTGAAATATATTACTAATAACGTTGTGGGGCAGGTTCGTGTACGCACTGCCTGGGGGCACATTCGTGCATATTTTTTTTAGTTTTTGCGATTTATGACTTTATCTGTAGTAGGTTTCTCTAATGACGCTCGCCTGACTCAGTCTCGACTGCTTGCGACGTCGTGACGAGCAATTCACGCGAACTTGGCGAGGTCACGGAGGCCGGCAGTTGGCACATTTCTTGTTGGCCAGCCCATTCTTTCTACATTTGTTGTGCAATGCATTCTTGTCGAAAGGAATCAAGTGAAATGACCCCCTGCCAATTTCCTTTGGTAAATTTCTGGTAATGCCCGGTAATTTCTCGAATTTTGCCGGGTGAACGGAAGTGCCCCATCTCTTGAACGAATGTGCCCCATAGGTGGGGCAGTTTCGTGCAAATGTTCAGAGTTAATAAAAGTCATTTTTTCTAATGGAAGCAATAATTTTATAGGATAACTTTTAAAGAGGAAAACTATCTGCAATAGTTCCTTTCCATACTACAATCAACAATTTTGCCATTGCACTAACCAAAGAACAGATATATGGGTTTATCCATTTTTTGCACGAATGTGCCCCACTCTCCCCTAGCTGCCGTCAGCCGGCAGAGGTAGCCAAGTGCCGGACCCAGCAAAATAACCTCGTTACTTGGATACTGCTGAGGCACCTATGAATACGAATAGTAGAAATCTTTCAACACGGATGTCTCCCTCCCCCCCCCCCTTGCTCCCACCTGCACTGTGTGTCGGCGCGGCGCGCGCAGCCGGCTGCCGATCGGTTCAGCTCGCGATCCCGCTCTGACAGCACGGCCGGGTAGCAGCAGCGGTCCGTACAGCTTTTCTCCGTGTAGCCGCAGTCACATTCCTCGCCCTTCTCCAGCACGCTGTTACCGCAGTAGCTGGCAGTCGTCGCTGGCGGAGGGGATTAGAGAGAGAGAGACGGTCAGTGGCGATGGTTCGTAAGTGGCGGCGTTGGAGGTCGGCAGCATGCACTCAGATATGTGATGAAAGAATATCATTGATTGGATATAATTTTTAAAACAACGCAAATTCTCAACACGAATCTGTCGTCAGTAATTAACTGTAAGAACACAAAAAGTAAGTTTTCTTCAACAGTCATGCCTTCCTCTCATCAATGATCCTACACTTCCATGAAGCAGCTGACCGCCAGGAATGCCAATATAATACAACCACACAGACACAGAGAGACACTCACAGGCGCCACCACGCCTATACCGCACGCCCCAGCTTCAAGCTCCTCACCTTTGAAGCACTGTCGCCGCTTTCCATTGGCAATAACATCAAGCACTGCAGAGATGAATCCGCTGCTGCACGGCGAAAAGTGCGAGTTGTTGGGGTCGTAGCCGGACACGGAATAAGGGTACATGATGTACATACCGTCGTAGCCTCCCGGCACACACTCGGGGCGGTTGTTCTCGGGGAGGTCGTGCTGTGGGGGGGGGGGGGCGGAGAAAGGTAGGTTAGGTGATGATGGCAGATTAGGTCATGCGGATACAGGTAAGGTGAATATGGAAGACAAATTCAGTCGTTCTATCAAGTTATCAAGTTAACTGAAGTCACGGTATTCAACCGTGCACGGATCACGAGTCACGACTGCTAGCTTGCCGTCATAAAGAAAAAAAATGATTCAACAAATTTATCAATAAAATGAAACGGAACTTGCAGTGCAATTCAGGACCTTTTGATCCTGCCCAGAAGCCTCCTCAATTCAAACGACTGATATTGACCATCTACCAGGCACCACAATAACCTCCCCCCCCCCCAGCCCCTCACCGGCGACCCGAGCGTGTGTCCGATCTCGTGCGCCAGCGTCAGGTGCGACACCACGGTGGTGACGCGCTCGCCGAAACTCTGCAGCGACACGATGCCGCTGTTCTTGGAGAGTCGCTGGCGCACCAGTATATTGCCCTTCTGCACCATCCGGATGCCCGACACACCACACACGCCCGAGAACTTGTCTGAGGGGCGAAAAATGGCCGCCAGGCGGGCAGGATCGACCCGGACTTACAAATAAACCACGCTTATTTGTAAGTAAGCGTGGTTTATTTATTTGTAAACCACGTTATTTGTGTAATAAACACGCTTACAGTGATCCACTATGAAACACCAGTTGCAGGCCTTAACTGTCGAGCATCTGAAACGCAATTATGATTAAGAAATATTCGTAATGTGTAACGAATAGAATCTAAGAAGTGATGGGAGATATGCATTGCGAACAAAAGAATGTGATTGGTTCTACACTGCGTCACATCGAAATGTATCTTTTTACATAATAAAAATATGGCTCGAAGCTTTAGCAGTACGTTTATCTAGCATATACCCATCTATGAAATTCAGATTCCAGGACCGGTTCACTAGCTACATATAGTTACCACGTCCAATAACCCACCCACCTTTCACATCGTCATTGGCCATCCAGGCGAATCCCATGACGCCCTCTGTGAACGTGCGGAAGGTGAAGGCGAAGGCCAGGCAGAAGGCGCGGTGGTCGCCCTGCGACTGCAGCAGCAGGTAATCCGAGTAGTCGACGTTGTCGGGACAGAAGCGGCTCGGCTCGCCCACGTAGTCGGGCGCACACGAGCTGTCGTCCGTGATCTATGGTGTCAGCAGCAGCAGCGGCAGAGGCGGCGACGGCGGCCGAGGCAGATAGGAGCAGAGGCGGACGGGGATCAGGATGTTAGGATAAGTGTGACAGGGTGTGGTGAGATTAGCATGGGGATGGAGCGTAGAGCGTAGAACTGGATATGATCGGGATCGTAGCGATCACATGGAGATCTCTCGCATGACACATATATACTAAAAGCAGCTAATGCTTACAGACATGATCTCCAGCATAATCTTGCCTTAGAAGACAAACTAAATTTTGTTTCAGTTGAGTATGCACATCAATCAATTACGTAATTGCTAGGAACAGCAAGGCCCAATTTTCTATCATGCGTGGCACGTGCCCGGAGAGTCGGACTCTGACGCACCAGCAGCTTCTGCAGTCGGAATTGGAGTCCCTCGTGCTGGTACTGTCCGTCGTTGAACTTCTCCTCGGCGTAGATGCGGTTGACGTAGATCATGTGGCCGCCGATGAGGCTGATGAGGTAGTCCCTGGCGCGGGGCACGTTACCCTCAAACTGACGGTGGGAGGGGGGGAGGGGGAGCGAGGTCACAGGGAAGGGGATAGACTTGAGGAATGCCATGATGGGCTATAGAAGGCGTACTACGGTGCCATAATGGGCAAAGTTGCGGAGCAGTGTAACGCGTAAGTAACGCACAATGCGCTTACAGTAAATGGTCAAAGCAACTCCCAGGGTAATGGAGCCGATTCGAAATATCGGAGAACCGATCACGGTACTCGTAAGATGAGGTGATCGGGTAAACCCTTACGCCAATACAACAACTAGGGTCGGTGCACCCATTCAACCCTCTCGGTCCGCGGCTCACCATATCGTACACGTATCTCCAGCGGACTTGGTCCATCTGTTCCCGTCCGTCAGAGCCTTACCATGTCGTAGACGTAGCTCCAGAGAATGGGATCCATCTGCACCCCGTCCTTAGTGTCTTACCATGTCATAGACGTATCTCCAGAGGACTTGGCCCGGCTGTCTCCCGTCCGTAAGTGTCTCACCATGTCGTAGACGTATCTCCAGAGGATGGGGTCTGTCTCGATGGACATGGTACACACGCCGGCCTGGTCTCGGTTGGGGTTCCCCGACGGTGGCTGGATGAACCGACTCGAGATGAACCGGCGCCAACGCTCCGCACGGAGATGGGAGGAGTTGGAGTCCGACTCGGGCGGGGACTCCGGGTAGGACTCGGGGAGTGACTCAGAGTCAACAGCAGCCTGCAGGCATCATCGAGCGAAACCCGATGTCAATTTTGGCGAAAGACATTTTCATAGGCCACGCGAGACCAAATCTCAGGTAAACACAGACATTACATAGATATTCTAATGAACATCTAGCTTCTCATTTCTACAGCGATTGACGAGCGGAATCATGTGCCAAAGACGATGTCACTAGCACAAGCCGAACGATTAAGTACTCACTTGATCCAATTCCTCGTCGGTAAACAACTTCTCTGCGTGCTGCTTCATGTGTTCATCATGCAACGATGCATCGTGATCCATGAACCCGCACCCCTTGCCTGAAACAGCAGCGAACTGACGAATTACAAACATCATAACAGACGTCCACTGATGATCCGTTATGAAAACACTTTTTTCGAAAACGAACTTCCCATTGACAACGAAATTTAGTCTGTCATGCAAGAGTACATATGTGTGGAATATTATGTTTTTCTTCATCGTTCAACTATACCACAAATCCACACAAAACAGCTTATCGAGTCACAAAACTTTATCCATCCCAATACGCACGCACACAGACACGCGAAATTCCAAACCACTGCCGACGACAGTCCCTCCCTCCCGTTGCATCCCCTCCCCACTCCCACCCCCAGCGCCCGTATCTACCCCCCCTCTCTCTCCCGTACCTCGAGGCAGTTTGACATCATCGTTGGAGAAGATGACTGAGTGAGCGCCCTCCGGCGGTGGGGGTGGGGTCGGCGAGGCGGGGCGGGTGGCTCCGCCGTGTCGGCTCCGATTACCGGCCAGCACCTGGGGCGGTTCAATCGAGTAGACGGCCGGCGGGATCTCGACTGTGCCGCTGAACACTCCGTCGCGCAGCGAGCCGAACACAAACGAGCCCGGCTCCCCTGGGGGATAGGGAGGGGTGGGGGAAGGAGAGGGATGACGGGCTGGACTGCTGGAAAGAACACACGGAAGTAATCAATATCGTTTTATCTTTATCTTTACTGTAGACTCTCAAATTAAGTTTAAAAACACACGTATCAGCTCATGAATAGAAATACCGGATAGCTTTTCGATGATTAGTATCCACGATCAGGAGAAAATCAGGATTCTGGACAAATACCCTGTTGGCTTGAGTAGGACATTGACAATGCCACTTACCTTGGACGGTGCCCTGGTAGAGCTGCAGGTGCTCAGAGTCCGGCAGTCCGGCGGACCGTCCCGGCCCCACCAGGGTCAGGTGGGGTCCCAGCGTGGTGAGGTCGGGGGTCAGCAGCAGTCGGAACCGACGGCCCAGCGCGGCGAACTCGATCGACACCGACGCCGCGTGGGCGCGCTCCGGGCGGCCGACCGTCGGTCTCGACGGCACCACCGGGCGGTAGTGCAGGTACTCGAACCGACCCACCGTGGTCGCCGCGGCTACAGCGGCCAATTAGACGACACGCCCAGTTCAGGTGATCAGAAACAGCGTACCGGTAGGTGTTTGAGTTCAAGTTACGGGCCACGGTGCGAGAACGAAGAATATTCCAGTGAGACTCCGTGAATGCAATGAGTGCAGTAAGCTACCGATAAATCGCGGTTTTTATTAAACGATCGCTTATGCTAGCAATGTTCTGGTGGATTGCATAAAGACCAGCAGGTGACATTTCAATTGAAATAGCCCGAGACGTTCCAGCCGTGGAAAAAAAGGACAGAATCGCATCATCTCTTGCAATATTGCGAGGGGGGTAGCGAGAATTCAATATACCCTGGTAGCGAGCCTAATTCAATATACCCTGGTAGCGAGAGCTTTTAGTTGATTACCTGCATTGATCGCGATCACTAGGAACACTGCCAGAGGCCATGAATGAAGCCTGGCCATGGCTTCGTAGGACGTTTATTCTTCATCCAATGCTAAAATATCAACGCTGATCCCAATCACAGTCCATATTGATTGTCGATATCAACATCTTCTTTCTGTAAGCTAATAACAACAACAATAAACGCATTTGACAAGAGACAAAGTAGGAATGAATGCTTCAAGGTGAAAGCAATTGATCATGAAATGAGATAGAGATAGCTTATATAGAAATGAGATAGCTTAACACGCGCAGTGGAAGGGTTGACTTGCGAGTACTACGCCCAGTGGAGGGGGGGGCGGATGTCCCCCCCCAAGATCTCAGCTTCTACTGGAGCTAGAAAGACGAAATTTGGAGGGTAGGTGGGGGCTCTGGGGAACTCTGATGCTTGTGAATTTCATGGGCCAAGGTCAAATGAGGTCAAATGTGGTCAAATCTGCCATATGAGCGACTTTTTTTGCGTTTACACGCCGATAACTCAAAAAGTTACCGGCCGATTTTCTTCTTTTTTTCACTATACGAAAAAACATACATTTGTGAGCATGAATGGTGAATTTCTAGTTAATTCAACAATAAATATAGCAGTCAGGCTTGTTAAGGGTAAGATGTTGCCGGCTGAAACGGGATCGGCCGACGCGGGAAACGCAGCAATCACAATTTTGTGTTTACACGCTCATAATTCAAGTTTTTACCGGCCGATTTTCAAAATTCTTTGACCATAAGATTGCCTGTACCTACATTTCTTAGTCTTCTCACAAAATTTGGCGAGAATCGAATATAATCAGCGGTAAGGAGCCTGGAGCGCGATGTAAAGACGGAACCGTCTCGCCCCGGCACAGTCTACGACCAGGGGTGCGGAGCCGGAGCTGGAGCTGGAGCCGGAGCCGCCGGAGCCGGCACATTTTGCCCGGAGCCGGAGCCGGAGCCGCCATGACATTTCACCCGGAGCCGGAGCCGGAGCGGAGCCGATTTTTCTCTGAAGCCAGAGCCGGAGCCGGAGCTGTCTGAAATTTCCACGGCTCCGCATCCCTGTGCATAGGAGATGCACTGAGTCGGAGCCGGAGCCGGAGCCGCCATGACATTTCACCCGGAGCTGGAGCCGGAGCTGGAGCCGATTTTTTCTCCGGTGCCGGAGCCGGAGCCGGAGCCGTCTGAAATTTTCACGGCTCCGCATCCCTGTCTACAACGTCTACAATTCAGGCGGCGCGTAACGGCCGTCGCCGGCAGCCGCGCCGCCGCGGCGGCAGGATGCTTGACTTTACACCGCTTTTGCTAGAAAAGTTGAGCACCGATTTTCTTATTTCTTGTGTGAAAAGATCTGCAATTCATTTCTGGACTGGTAGCCAGAATTTCATTAATATTATGTTTGCAACGCGAGTTATTGACGAAAAACAGCAGGGTGGGGCGTGGGCGAAATCCGCCCCCTTCCACTGCGCATGTTAAGCTACCCATGAAATGTCATGGTACATTGTAGGTACCAGGTATTAAATATTTTCGAAGGAAAAAAGTTGGTGTAACAGTTTGGAAAATAGAAATGAGAACTCCGAATGCATATAGGCTATTTTGAATATCTTGAAGAATCTTGCGAAATGCAACGAGCAACCCGTATCGATCGATCTTTTATTACCGGTAATACGGGCATGCTGATTCAACTTATTATGAGTCGAGAGTCGCATCAATTTACATTGTTCAATAAATCACAATCTCAGACGCACAGGCATGAAAACTGTGAAAAAATATTGGTACACCTTCACCTGCACAGCCAGCCTGGAAAAAATGTAAACAAATATAGAAGACTTTCATGGCGCATATGCTTGTCTACAATCGTTATCCAGAGCTTTATCTTATATTTATCATTATTTATTCAGAGTGTAATTTCATATCTAATTTCTTATAATAATGACATAACTTATGAATTCTTTTTCAAATAAAATTCGAAGTTTAAGTTAAAAACATTTAGAAATAAGAATAACAGACCATTGCGCAGTTTACGCGTGTAAGATTTGTGAAAGTAAGACAGGCTAAATTTTACGCGCCAGTCTGAAGAGCGGCTGCTTTTATGTGCATGCATGGCCGAAACAATTACTGCTATGTAAGTCAATGGTACTGCATTCAGCCCGCCTCCATCTGACCGGCTGGACCCCCCCCCCCCCTGACATTTTGACAGATCTCCACCCCTGTTATGATGTGTCAACGGATAGAATATTGAGCTCCTGAGGAATTAGAACACGTTACACGTTCGATTTTCATTTTCCTCTTGTGTTGTGTGGTGCTTGATAGCCGATGTGGCCACCTTAAAAACCTAGCGGCACAGGGAGAAGGGATATGCAGATGGTCGGTCGCAGAACATCCTTGATGAGTCTTAAAACTGGCATTTAAAGTGATCAGGTCAGCCAAGTGCTGGTCGAATCAGATAATTATATTGCCTACGCCGTATCCAGCACCTCGGACTCGGAGTGTAATCGCCACGCCGATTGTGGATTGCTCTTGATCGTCAATACATACATACATACATACATACAGCAAGACGTGTGTGTACCGTATTGAATCCTTGCTTCAGCGGACACTGCCGGTCGCTCTTGTGGTATTTCAACGATGCCCTCCCACCCACGCTATGGTCCTGCCCCGACCCACATCCTGCCCGGACTCTGCCGCATTGTTCTGTGATTGGCATGCACGCGTCTCGTGCACTCTGTGGCCGACAGGCAGGGCTCTATTTAAGGACTGGGTAGGACCAGAGCCCACACATATCGGTGCGATCGGGGTGTCACTGTTGGACTGGTCAGTTTGCTTCACACCGTAGGAGGATGGTTGACATTGCCGTAAGTACCGTGGGGTCAAATATAAATTCAACCCGGTGATGCGATTGTCATGAGCGTAGAAACTTTTTAAAACAATGTGAAATAAAAATGTTACGCAAGCAACCAGCTGTCCCATGTCATGATCGGAATCTGCATGGTTTGATTTGACCGATGAGGATGAAACAGCAATTAACCCTATTCCTGGCGGGCTCCGCCGGGACAAGAAACTGGCGGGGGGGGGGGGGGCCGATTCGGCCCCCCCTTCAGATCTCAAAAACTACACATCGCAGCGACAAACGGTAAACGGCATCGGATACGCACGGTCAAGATCTACAATTTTTACTAAGGTCATTTTCAGGTCAGGTCAAAGATGACGTCACAGGGGTCGAAAAAGTCAAAATGGCGGCGCTAGATATGGAGAGAGTTTTTTCTCGAATAACTTTCGAATTAGTCAAGATAGGAACAAACTAAGGGCATCGTCGTGATCCTCTCGTCAATCCGCATCGAATGATATATATGTTGACCTCGAAAGGTCAAGGTCAAAGGTTGACCTCAGGTCACGTGACCTTGAGGTCATCATGTATATCATTCGATGCGTCTTGACGAGCTGAACACAATGAGACCATCCACGAGTCTGTATCTTGTTCCTGTACGGAGTTATTGGCCAAAAACCTTTGGTGACCTTTGATGACGTCACATGACCTCACAGCTGCCCAACAGCAAAACAGACCTCAAGGTAGTGAAGGTTGATCGTATATGAAGTCATGTATGGTATATGGGGCCATTCCGACCCGTTTTAGTGGTAAAAACAGGGAGTTGATTTTTCCCCCATTGACTTATAATGGGGAGGTCGCGAAACTGACCTGACCTTAGGTCACTGATATCAAAATTCCGAGATATACAAATTGCACATACTAGTACCCTAACTAAAGCCTGAAGAGAAAAAATTGATCGGTCAAAAACTCTAGCTCTGGCGTGATTGCAAACTTTTCTGAGATAGGGTCACCAAACCGCCTCTGGTGACCTGACCTGAGGTCAGATCAACTCAAAATTTTCAGACATGTTGCGTAGAAGCCTTTTAGGAAAAGTCAGAAAATTTGAGCTTCCTAGCTCAACGCGTTTGGGAGAAATAACCAAAAAACCTCAGGGGGGGGGGGGCTCCTGAGGCCCCCCCGCCAGGAATAGGGTTAAATGTATACCTACATTAAGTCACGTTCTTTACTGAACCAAAATTTCACCGATGGTGATTATACATAAATGAGCCAATAGTTTCCCAGCCGAATGCTAATAGCCGAATGCTAATAACGTCGTAGAGTACCTATATATTCCGTGCTAATAGCTTGAAGGTACTGGTGCCGGTCTGTCCATTGTATTACTTTTGACCCGACCCGGATCAATATTGCTACACATAAGACCTTGTTAAATATTAAAACCTAGAAAACAACACTATTTAATTGTCACGTCCAATAGACGGTCATAACTGTTCATCTGAATAGAATAATGGCATGCTGCCAAAAAATGTACCTAATGGCGTCTTGTTATTTATTTACATAGTCGCAAACGAATTATGGTTTAGTACGTAACATTAAAAGCACGAGACAGGCAAAATCTTACAAATATTTGGCGCCGTCAGTTAGGATTGCAAAACACATTCCACAGAAGTGTCTGACTTGGAACACACCTGTTCGCAAATTAAATTATAACGGTCAGTTAGGCAAGGCGCTCGACATGGGGATATCACTTAATACCAGCTATTATAGCTATTACGAAAAATTGAATTGGTCATGACTCATGACATCAGCCAATCGTTTTTCACATACCTACCTTCTCAGTTCTCCGCCATTTCATGACGCACGCGCCGCCTTCTCCCCAGTGTTTGCTGTTGGTGCTGGGATCGTTGGGCGCTCAGGCGCGACCTCAGTACGACAACTACAACACCCTCTCCTATATCTCGGGAGCCGACGCACAGGCCACCATTCTCGAGGAAGAGAACAAACCGAACGGAGGGCTCGGCAATTACAGATACAAGTAAGTTTCATCCATTACTGGTAGCGTCTTTGCGCTTGCACATATGTAGTATGTGCTCCGGAGGACGTAAGTTATGTTCTGATACGTTCGTTGGTTCATAGCATGGGAGCCTGTGACCACTCACTACACATAATCCTTCGTCTTACGAGTTCATCAGCGCTTTTTAAAAACGTATAGTAACTGAGAATGCCTTATCCCAGCTCGATTAACCTGAAGCCTCCGTCGTTCCGCCAGGTACACCACCTCGAACGGCATCTCCCAGTCGGAGGAGGGCCTATTTGAGCCCGGTGTCGAGCCGGAGACGGGCATCATGGAGGTCTCCGGCTCCTACAGCTACGTGGACCCCAGCGGTCTGACGCGCACAGTCACCTACACGGCCGGTGTGGACGGATTTCGCGCGCAGGGCGACGACATCCCCACACCGGTGCCGACACAGTACCCGCTGCCGGCGGTGCCGCCACGCGATGGAGCCGGTGCGGGTGCTCGTGAGGGCGGCGCGGGGGTGCCCGGCTTTAGTGGCTGAGGGGAACTGATGACGCTAGAAGTGATGCGAGCGGTGAATTGTTGAGGCCTTATTTTTGTGTACCTACAGAGACGCTCATTATTGAGCTTATATTCGCTTACGGTCGCTTTATGAGCCTCAGAACGCCATAACTTAGAATGTAACACAGTGATTTGTGGCTATCCTATCATTCATGAGTCATATGAAACGACTATATTATTTTTGTACTTATGTTCAATAAATCATGCGACTCGTAGGGCGAAGCAAGCGCCAAAGTTGCCGGTTGTAGGTATGTATAGTGCTGTTGTGATCATGTCGAATATGGGCGCCTGCTGGCTGCTAAATTGCTAAAAATTAAAAAAAAAATGGTCGACTGACAATTGTTTCTTTTGGGCATTTGAATGAGGGTCAAATGCCCATGACGAAAACAGCGATATCCAGACCACATAAAATCGTCGCACGAAATGAGGCACCGATGCTTGAAACGAGTTCAGTTGGGAAGGGCAGGCGGTCGTACGACCAAGGCTGCAGCTAGTCGATTGATTTCCAGTGACCCCGACTCCGACTCTGGCTCTAAAAAAAAAAAACAATTCAACTCCGACTCCGATTCCGACTCCGGGCAAAACTATCGACTCCGACCGACTCCCTCCGACTCCGACTCCGCAGACCTGGCAGGGCTGCGGAGTTGGAGTCAGTCGGAGTCGATAGTTCTGACCGTAGTCGGAGTTGGAGTCGGTTCTGGAAACCGGATACGGAGTTGGAGTCAGAGTCACCAAAAATTCGTCGACTCCGCACTGCGGAGTCGACGAATTTTTGGTGACTCTGACTCCAACTCCGTATCCGGTTTCCAGAACCGACTCCAACTCCGACTACGGTCAGAACTATCGACTCCGACTGACTCCAACTCCGACTCTGACTCCGCAACCCTGCATATGAAATCATTCAATAGAGAGGGGACGAGGAAAATGGTGATGCAATGCAGGATGAGGAGACTGGCGCGGTGACATTTGGAAGGCTGCATTCTTGTGAATCCAACTAGTGCATGTACTTATATAACATCGTACCTAAAGTCAAGACTCAAAGTCATCGATAGGTACGGGGACCCGCAGTTGCTTCTGTACACGAACCCCAACTCTAGCCGTCTGTCCTGTACAGTAAAAACCGATAACATTGATATCGACTGCTGGTCCCTATACAAGAGCAGCTGAGGTTTTCTGTGCGTGCCCTCTGACAGCTTATCGTTGTTCCCTGTGAGGGTGTTGGGACAATTTACTCAGGGTCGCTGTACAGTAGCAACTGCGGGTCCCCGTACTTACCAGTATAACGCCTTTTGGGGCGACTAACGGAGCGAGCGAGAGGGTGAGCCTTGCACGTGCGAAATTTCGAGGGGGTACCTCCAGTTGACTTGTGCACGGCACCCTACTAACCGGTCTCTAGCGATGTGCCGAATTTGAGCACAATCGGCCCAGCCGTTCTCGAGATCTGGAAGCGGCACCCTGCACGTGCGCACGTGCAAAATGGGTCCCAACTGACTTTTGCACGGCACCCTACTAACCGGTCCCTAACCATGTACCAAATTTGAGCGCCATCGGTCCAGCCGTTCTCGAGATCTGGAATCGACCCCTGCACGTGCGCACGTGCAGCAGCACCCCAACTCTGGCACATGGATATGCATTGCCTAGTGGGTGCCTACCTACATGCCAACTTTCAGCGCAATCGGCCAAGTAGTTACGGAGATATTGCAACAATTACAAAAGTGACACCTCTTCGTTTTGCACGTGGCACGTGCGTAAGGGGTCACCCACATGCAGCGGGAATAGTCCAATACTTGGTAGAAGGAATGAAGCTACCCTAGAAAAATTACCGCGTGTAAATCGGTCAAGTGGTTGCTGAGATATAAGCCTCGCAAAAGCGTGACCACGGCCGCTCATACTCAGAAATTTCCTTGTTTCCTTCCTAAGGAAAGACTACTCTTAGGTGTTGTTTTTATCCGCTGGGACTGAGAGCGTGAGATGATGTTTTTCGTACTCCAGCGTAGATGGGTAGCCATACGGCTTCCACGGTTGACAGTGATGACATCAGTCATCTTTTGCAAGCTCGTTAAAGATTTGGGCTGTACGGGGACTCGAACCCCGGGCCTTTGGATTAGCGCTCCAATGCTCTACCTCTGAGCTATACAGACCAAGTACTTTAACGAGCTTTCTGCCAAGTTTTATGCGGATCATTCTTAGGTGTTGTTTTTATCCGCTGGGACTGAGAGCGTGAGATGATGTTTTTCGTACTCCAGCGTAGATGGGTAGCCATACGGCTTCCACGGTTGACAGTGATGACATCAGTCATCTTTTGCAAGCTCGTTAAAGATTTGGGCTGTACGGGGACTCGAACCCCGGGCCTTTGGATTAGCGCTCCAATGCTCTACCTCTGAGCTATACAGACCAAGTACTTTAACGAGCTTTCTGCCAAGTTTTATGCGGATCATTCTTATCTCATAAGAATGATTCGGATCTCATAAGAATGATCCGCATAAAACTTGGCAGAAAGCTCGTTAAAGTACTTGGTCTGTATAGCTCAGAGGTAGAGCATTGGAGCGCTAATCCAAAGGCCCGGGGTTCGAGTCCCCGTACAGCCCAAATCTTTAACGAGCTTGCAAAAGATGACTGATGTCATCACTGTCAACCGTGGAAGCCGTATGGCTACCCATCTACGCTGGAGTACGAAAAACATCATCTCACGCTCTCAGTCCCAGCGGATAAAAACAACACCTAAGAATGATCCGCATAAAACTTGGCAGAAAGCTCGTTAAAGTACTTGGTCTGTATAGCTCAGAGGTAGAGCATTGGAGCGCTAATCCAAAGGCCCGGGGTTCGAGTCCCCGTACAGCCCAAATCTTTAACGAGCTTGCAAAAGATGACTGATGTCATCACTGTCAACCGTGGAAGCCGTATGGCTACCCATCTACGCTGGAGTACGAAAAACATCATCTCAAGGAAAGACTACGCTCGCTTCGCTCGCTCCGTAATAATATATATTAATTATTAACACATGGTTTCCCGTGTGTAAATGGTTTTAACGCACGACGTGGATGGATTGGAGCACGAGTAAGTTAATGCACGAGTGAAACGAGTGCATTAAAGGTAGACTGTCACCTTTTTTTCACTTACCGGTTTTCGTAAGAGGTGCCCGCCCTCACCACAGATGTCCAGTCCATTTTCCGTTATCCTCACCCTGTAACGCGCAATCGCCTCCCAAAGTTCCATTTGATGCCATCTTTTTCGCCGGTGAAAATGCTCATCACTACGATAGCATGTATGTCACTTTTCATTACATTTTGGCATCATAGAGATTCATTGTTATTTTTCTTGAATGTTGTGACAAATTTCGTAATACCAATATTAATTTCAACAGCAAAGACGTACATTTAGCAAATTAATGTTGAAGGTTTCCTAGTATACTAGCATGAAGAAAGGCCGATCTCTTAGCATTGTGAAGGATTTCAGGGAAAGGAAAAACTTTGTCGATTTTAATTAAGAGCATTTTATACAAATTTTAAGGAAAAACTCGTCTAAAGGGTTTTATTTATCTTTTCTTATTCACACATATTCAATTCAAAGGCGATAAATTGTTAATTAGCAAATTTGTGGTAGAAGACAATGCTTTTTTTTACTTGAAGGGAAGTGGTAAAGGGAAGACCTGAGGTCCGATCTCTTCAACACTAGTGAAGGGAGCAGACCCTATGACAAAGGTAAGTGGTAAAGGATTTTTGGTTTGCTACCATGTTCTGCATGTTTCCACCTCTGTTTCAAACACGACGCGATAAAATTGAAGACTTTTTCGGGGCACGTGTCAAATGTATTGCTAATTCATAGGCGATGCTGAAAGTGGTTTCATCCTCATTTCTACGGTCTCTGTGCGCTAATATTTAATGGTTTTCATCGTGGTAAGTTGATATACAACGGTGCCGGAATCTCTCAAGTAACAAGTAACGGGTGTGCACTCAGTTTTGGAAAAAGATCGATTATCTCTTTTTTGAACTTGAAGTTATAAATACAAATGCTGGCATAGTGAATACCTAATCATGCAATTGAGGATGAGCATGCCAAAATTCAAATTTATACAACTGACTTGGGGAAACTACCCATGCTGGAAACTGCCAGTCTGCAAGGTATGGCAATTTCGACAAGATCTGGTCGGTGCGGGCTTGTTCAGCTGTTGCGGCGTGGTGCGGATTTCGCTTGGTGTGCGGATTTAGTGGATCACAGTGCAGATTTGGCTTGGCGATGGACTTGACGGACAAGACGATATTGATGAGGCAAATCGAAAAACATTGCTGGAGCTTTTATGTGTAATTCAGTGTCCCCTGGGTTTAAATGAGTGTGCAACTGCTGGTCATTTTTGGGTTCTGTGCGGATCTTTTACCCTCAGCCCACATTGGGGTGGATTTTCCGGTTTTGAAGGGTTGGTGCGGATTGTGAACTTGGGCTAGTGCCCTTCGTCGACATGCGAGCGATACTTTGCAGCATGGCTGCGCACGGCTGCAAAGTATGGCTTCAGCTTCAGCAATGTTTTTCAATTTTCCTCATATATCTTGTCTGGTCTGTCATGTCCATCAACAAGCAAATCTGCAATGTGCTACACCAGTGTCCCAAAATTAGGGATATTTTGGCTTGGGTGTTCGAGGGTAAAATTCCTCACTACAAAGAGGACTGAAAGTGGAAAATTGCTAGTCAGAAAGATACAAAGAAGAATGAAAACATGATCACCATTTTCTATGTGAATGTTACAGGATGTGGGAGCTGCGATGATTTAATGGAATTTGAATGTAGGTACAAGCCAGCCAGCAAATGTACATGCGGATGATCTTAGTTGTTAAAGTTGGGAGGGCAACTTGTCCTGGAAAATTAAAGGTGAGAGTGGACCAAGTGGACTATTCAATTTCACAAGGATTTCACTTTCCACCCAAATCTTGGGACACTGGGCTACACTAGATCTGCACCCTACCAGCCAAATCCGCACCACGCCGCATCAGATCAGCACCAGCTGAACAAGCCTGCACCGACAAGCTTTTGTCAAAATTGCAATGCTTTGCAGACTGGGAAACTACTAGGCGCAAATCCAAATATTGATCGACCAATAAACAGTTGAAGTGAGCAGGGCTATGACCAAACTAGGAATAAATAATTTAAATATGAATGCTTATAATTATAAATAGTTATAAAGAAATTAGTATTTGTCAATCACCATTCAGCGACCGTTGACCTGACTCAGTCTGAAAAACGTGGCAGCCACGTTTTTCAGACATGCTGAAAGCTGTCATGCTGCACCTCTTAATATTAATTGTATAACAACTTTAAATGACAAATACAGCTTTTCTTTTACAGCAGCAACATGGTAAACCGTTGTTGTGTCAAGACATGCAAGCAACACTTTGATTACAAGCCCCAACATAAGCAGGGTGCAAAATGGAAACTACACAGGTATGTGATCTCGCCACCGTCATTGCAGTATTTGAAATGCAGTATCATGAGGGTTATATTTTACCAGATAAACGCCTTTTGGGCGAAGACCGAACGAGCGAGAGAACTGTAGCTTTTCTTGACAAGGGGTCCTCTGACTTCGGGAATTTTTCAGCTATCGACACAAAATTGGCACACTGCTAGAACTAGACACACTCTACAGTATGTTATGAAAATGAATGAACCGGGGTGCTTGGGACATTCACTTTGCACGTGCAATGAATTCATATCCTATACTGTAGGTAGATTTCCATATCAATTTCACGTGCTTTCAATAATTCTTTAGACGTTTCAGTTCGTTACAGTCTCAAAAGGTCTCGGTTATCTTTCAGTCTACCCCCAAGACCTAACTTATTGTTTTTTCCCTGGCCCGGCATGCTCTCGGCACCATCCCTCCAATTCTGGCCCAAGGCAACGCACGAGCGCTGCCTGCATCTAGTATTGAAAAGACTTCGCTTCGCTTGCTTGCTCGTAACAACCTATGTAGGCTGTTGCCATTTATTGTGGCACAAATGTAAATGCACAGAGAAACCACCTGCTTTATTACCAAGAATTTGAGAAATCAAGCGATTACACCCCAAATCGCTTCCTCCAGCCGGAGGCTGTACCCTCGAAGGTAAGCGCGCTCCGTGGCCGAGAGAATTCCAGCGGTAGTGTTAGACGCGAAAGCAGCTGGTGCGGACGGCCATATTTTGCTCGAACGCGTAATCGCGTGCCGGTGGGGTGGTTCTATTATTTGTCTGAGTGAGAGGCGGCTTACCCATGGGGCGGTATATGGTGCAGAGCTGGGCGCCACTGACAAAGAGAAGGACGCTTATAATGTGACACAATGTGTTCTAATGTTATAATATCTTTTTTCGGCATGGGCCAAGTGCATGTGACCTTGGGGTGGTGCGTCAGTCAATAGTATGGAGATGAGTGCCTGTGGGCTGTGACGTTATGACGTTGTGCGTTGTTTTGTAATTGTGCCGTCTTTTGATGGGGCGAAGGCTTGCAAATCCGCCCCATTGGAACAAAAAGACATTATTGGCACGCCCCCCCCCCCCCCCCCAGCAGGGCACGGGTAAACACTCTGGTAGTTCACCAACCTCTCTCTGCACTGTGATTTCAGAACCTTGGTACGTCACCTGCGACGGCGACGTCACCTGCGAGTTCCGCGGAACCCCTGACGCCGTCACCAGCTGGACCATCCGCGGCACTGGACCATCCAGCGACGGCCGTGACGCCGTCACCAGCTGGACAATCCGTGGCACTGGACCATCCAGCGAAGGCCGTGACGCCGTCACCAGCTGGACCATCCGCGGCACTGGACCATCCAGCGACGGCCGTGACGCTGTCACCAGCTGGACCATCCGCGGCCCTGGACCATCCAGCGACGGCCGTGACGCCGTCACCAGCTGGACCATCCGCGGCCCTGGACCATCCAGCGACGGCCGTGACGCCGTCACCAGCTGGACCATCCGCGGCACTGGACCATCCAGCGACGGCCGTGACGCCGTCACCAGCTGGACCATCCGCGGCACTGGACCATCCAGCGACGGCCGTGACGCCGTCACCAGCTGGACCATCCGCGGCCCTGGACCATCCAGCGACGGCCGTGACGCCGTCACCAGCTGGACCATTCGCGGCACTGGACCATCCAGCGACGGCCGTGGCGTCGACTCTGCCAGTGCCGGAGACGACGGCGACGTCACCTGCGAGTTCCGCGGAACCCCTGACGCCGTCACCAGCTGGACCATCCGCGGCCCTGGACCATCCAGCGACGGCCGTGACGCCGTCACCAGCTGGACCATTCGCGGCACTGGACCATCCAGCGACGGCCGTGGCGTCGACTCTGCCAGTGCCGGAGAGGTCGGCGACGTCACCTGCGCCGCTGGTGTCAACACCGCATGGACATCAGCTGCGAGCTGGTAAACGGCGGTGGAGTGGAAGCAGGTGAGAACTGGCAACCTGTTTATGACAAACTTTTCTTTTTTGCTTGAGGGGTGATTCTGGTGTCTTTCTGCTAGAATTATTCAAATTGGGCTTTATCTATTATTTTGACCATGGACGTGCCTCAAGCATACTGCAGCAAAATTTTTACATTTATTCCCCCCAAAACCCCCCTAAATATTGACCTAGAGCAACCAAATTTGCGCAGGGGCGAGAACTCCAGGGGGCCCACCTACCTACCAAATTTGGTGTTTCTAGGTGCCATAGGAGCCAATCGCGAGGGGGGTCGCATCACCCCCCCCCCCTGCCAGGCCGTGTTATGAAAAATGTCCTGCCAGGGCGAGGGTTAATGTAGGAGCTATGCACACATAAAGCATGTGTTGTTTACAGCATGGTACTTCGGCTGCAGGCTTGAAATGGAACAGACTTTAGTCTTATCTGCATGTGGTAGCTCGAGCAGAGGTATTACATCTGCTTACGTGTCCCGTAGCAGCATTTTACACCTTGTCCTGCTCTCCCACAGAGCGCGCAAGCCACCAGCCAGCTGACTCAGAGCCCAGGGGGCGTTCGCCACCAACATCCGCACGGCGCAGCTGCAGAGGTGATTTCTGCCATGGAGCAGCATCCGCGGCTCCATGACATCATCCTTCCATCATTCTCCATCATCATTTCCGGAGCTCACCCGACGGCGGAGCTGGCGACGCCCGCGCCCCGCCTGGCCGTCCAGCCTGCGCGCTCCGCCGCGCGCCGCGGGCCCGGCTCGCCGAGACGTCCGGCTTAGGTCGGCGTTTGAGGCGCGGCGGGGGGCAACGTCTCTGTGCCCTGCTCCGGGTCCCCGCCGCCTGCGGTCTCTTCTGCTGCCGCCACTGAGGGGAACGGCTCTTCTTTGAAGACATCATCGGTCGACGGTGATGCTGGCGGGCCGGTGGCGGCGTGCCCCGTCGGCAGCGCGCCTGGGGAGGACGCTGGTGACGACGAATCTTCATCGCCGTCGGCACCGGTCGCGAGCGAGTCGCTGTTTAGTTGGCCTGCTACTGTGCCAAAAAGTGCGACTGTGGCCAGACTGGTATACGATTTGTCAGTGCTTACGCCCCTCTTGCCGTGCCGGCCGTGCTCTTTGCCGTCTATTGGGGATGCGTTAGAGTTATCGTTTTGGGGTTTATACCGGTATCAAGATTGATTTAAAAGATGGATTTCATCACATTTCTCGCGCACGTTCCACACGTCCTTTTGGTGTTTTGTATGATGGTAAAACGTGCTTATACCTTTTCTCTGTTACCAATGGGCCCTATTAGGTACTGCATCTCCTGCATTATTAGGTAGAGATGCAGTACCATTATTAGGTACTGCATTATTAGGTACTGAAGGAGATGCAGTTAGGTACTGCAGATGCAGTACCTAACAGATGCTTTCAGTGAACTTGTAGAGTCGAGATTTAACGTCAGGTGTTTGGCGTATTTAGATGATTTTCTTTTCATGTCCAAGGACGCTGAATGGTATCGCTGCGTTTCTGACTAGTGTTGGGTTGTGTATTAATTTCAATAAATGAGTTCTCGTTCCGTTGCATGTTTTTACGTTTCTTGGTGTGTCGATTGACTTTGGGCGTGATTCTGCGCGTGTTCAGGATAATGCCTTGTCTTGTCACTATTGCGGGATGGCCGTGGTCCAAGCACAGTCGCTGTGACAGACGGTTCGATTTGTCGACCAATCATGTTGCTTCGTTTTTGGCGCCTTGTGTGTTGTCCGGTCTGTCAAGACTCAGCTGGCTCAGTCTCGACTCTGGCTCTGGCTGGCTCAGTCTCAGTCTCATCAGAGAGCGAAAGGAGCTGCGCGCGCGGCTGCAGCAATTCATCGGCGGCGGCGCTGTGAACGCTGTGTCGGCGGCGCGCGAACAGGAGCTGATCGCGCTAAACGAGGACCGCCAGCAGCTTGTCCATCTGCAGCAGCTGGTGTTGCAGCTGATGGGCGGCCAGCAGCTGGCGGCGGTCGCTACCCCCCCCCCCCCGCCGGTCCTGTGTGCGGGGACCGCCGCGCCCGGCAGTGATGGAGGGTACTATGGCGGTGTTACATTCCTAACTGTTGTCACATATCAACTGAGAACCGTCCGGCCGGAGGCAGTTAACGCCGGCCGGCACCTACTCACCGTGGCCGTATTTTTTTATATGGAGAGAGGAGAGAGGAGAGAGAGGACATCAGGTTGTCAGAGAAATAAAGTGTATATTTATTATTTGAATCGAGCGAGTCGCGTGTTCCACGAGCGGGACTTGGAGCAAAAAGCTGGCATTGAGATACAACGAACAGAACGTGGCGTCGAGCAGGAACGCCCCCGGCTATGTACACGGTGCTGCTGGGCGCGCGACCAACAAAACACGAGAATGCATCAACATCAAAGACACACGGTACATCAAAGCCCTCCGCGCCATCGCTGGGTCCGTCGGCACCGCTAGCGCTTCTACAAAACAAGCACGCACATAGAGACGCCATTTCCAAACGCACGCATACACAGAACAAAAACGCACATGCACGTCCATTCGTTTCACTCAGTCACCCATGAACGGCTTGGGTTTCCGGACGGTCACCAGCCGGCGGGGCCGCGCCGCGGCAATAGGCGTGAGTCTCCTCGTTGAGCTTGCTGAGCGCGCTGCCACCGGAGGCGGACGGGGCGCCGCCGGCCGCGCCGTCCTTCGCGTCGCTCACCTCCACCTCGACCCCACTGTCGGAGTCCTCGGCGGCGGCGCGCCGGCGCAGCTGCTCGCAGATCTCCTCTGTGACGAAGGTGGCGCACTTGGGGTCGCGCATCAGCGGCGTGAACTCGAGCTCTGGCCGGCCCTGGTGCAGGCTCCGTCAGCGGCCGCGGCTGCACCACGGCAGCGCGCGATGCTCGCACAGCTCGCACTCACGCTCCACGGGAGCCGGCGCCGACTCCGGTCGCCGCCGCTTCACCGGCGTCGAGCTGGCCTGAGACGAGCCCTTTGCCGCACCGCCCGAGCCCGTGTGAGGGATGATTGTGAATTGTGATCTCGTTGTTGATTTTGATGGGCTGTCCGGTGGCGGCCGCCGCCGCAGCTGCCTTCCTACGGCCAAACGACTCCATAATCTTCTTGGCGACGACAGAGTGAGGGCTGTAGACGTCATTCTCGAACTGTTTGTATACATATGCGAATGTGGCCGTACAGACGGTGCACTTGTAGGGAAAGGTGCACCGGGTTCAGCATCACAAGGTGGTCCTTAAAGACGTGGTGCAGGAGCTTCCACTGGTACACCTGGCGCACACAGAGAAAACACGTCACCGGTAAATCCCAGTTTGAAGTGAAGGAAGATGTGCATGAAATCCTAGGACCAGACAACTCGCAGGGGGGAAGTCCACAAATGACGCAACATCACTAGGTACAACCTCGTATCGCACAGCAATGTAAAATCATTAATGGTACCTAATGGTCTCCCTAATAACCAGTGTACGTGTATCTCCAACCCGAGCCGCCTCCCACGATAAGATCAAGACTTGTGTCAAGACATGTGTCCTAAGTATTAAGTAATAAGTTCACCTGTATCAAGTTCACCTAGCACCACTTTTCTGAAAGAAAAGTGGTTCATGTTTTAGTGCCATCTTTCATTATAGAAAGACAATGATGTTGAATGTGTTTTCTGATGAACCACAAAGTGAAAATCAGTGATTTATGGGTGCATTGTATTTAAGAATTCCTTTTGAATTATCATGAGCAGAGTTGAATACCTCCTTTTGCACTCTTTAGAAAATGAAGAGACTCACAAAATTAAAACATGATTAGAAAGAACACATCCTTAGAAATGTTTTGTGTACTAACCATATTTTTTTCATAAAACATTTATAACTTCCACCAAACCACACAATGAGTCAGGTGAGATTATCTTACATTAGGTAAGGTTAGGTAAGGTTAGATTAGGTTGTATTATTTCTGCTTGTAGTGTACCTGACTTTTCAAGGTAGGTACATGATAATTTTAATTGCAATAATCACCTTAAAATATATATTGGCTAGCAACCTAGATAAAGGCTAGGCCACACATGGCAATTAAATAAATATTAACAATTGTTTCATACTTTCACATCGCATCGTAAGAAACATTCAGTTATTTACCTTTGGGGCTCGGGCTGGGCGGTGGGTGAAAAGTTGAGAATTCTTCTTGCCCCTCGACCACCTCCTCTCCTCACCCGTCCTCGTCCTCTCCCTCGCTCACCAGGCATCTTCACCTGGAAGGTAGGCATACAGAAATGGGCCAGTCTGCAAAACGTGGCAGGTCTTGACAATATGTTGTCAGGGCACACACCACAGGTTGTGGCAGGTTTGAGGAATTTTGGGGCAGAAGCAAGGAAATCTGGGGCAGAAGTTGAAAGCTTGTCACAGCATTGATTCATTTCGCTTCTCATACTTATTAAATGATGCACTTCATCATTATATCATTTTCATCATATTCATGAGGGGCCCTCATGAAAGGAATTGGGTTGCCCAGGTCTCGGCATTCCGCTTGGGGCAATGTTTTGACTGTCCCAAACATCTTGTCACGGATTGAGCTCCCTGCCACACTTTGAAGACTGGGAAATTGGTGCTGGAATGGAAACACTATCAGATTCATGACAATTTTTCCAATACCATAGGTATTTGTTATTCAAATAGCACTTGTCTCAACTTAGTCTATCACTATTCATATAAACCTGGAAATAGTCTAGCTTTTAATATCACATGCCAAAATACATGTATATATATACCTATCAGATGAATCAGAATTGGAATATTTTAAGATATAGATAACATAACTCATTAAAACAGGCAATTCCAAAAGCGTAAACACGACATACATAACCAAAGCAAGGATCATTGTATATTTCAATTGTAACATGCGCGCCGTTTATGGCGACAAAACCCGCTTCCATATCTTATGACCTTGAAGTCTAGTGATGTGTCAACATTGTCGCTAGACATTATCCGATTGATAATTTATGATAATCGATAATTTTTTTACGCGATTCACGTGATGATAGCTTGCCAGGTGAATTCTAAAATTTCGTTTTATCCAGGGAAAAAATCATGGGCCGATCTGAGAAAACTTTTTGAAGGTGGCAGTCTTCCTTCGCACGAGTGCTCCATTCCATCCACGAGTGCGTTAAAACCATTTATGCAAGGAAACCATGTGTTAAACTAATTAATACATGCTTTACGGTGCGAATTTAAATTAAAATCAATCTTAGTCCATGACATTAAAAGGGCCTTTTATGGGAATTCTTAGAAGAAAGTCAATGACCCTTCCGAAAAACTTCAGTCGAGAAATTCATCACTGCACGAGCGTGCACCAATTTAAATTGGTGCACGGCTACCTTCGAATTAACGCACGGTTAATCTCCAGTGAACGCACCGTAAAGTATGTATTAATATCGATTATATGCAACGAGTTAAAAGCTGGAACGATTTATTTTCATTCCGATCGATCAATAAATTTTCAACAACCCTGTAGTTAATGAGAGCCAGCTAATTTGTATTTATTTAGCATCACATTGATTGATTTTAAATCAGTCACGGACTTTAGTCGGAGTCATCGCATTTCCATCCGTACTCATCGGTATGCCGGGTTTGCCACGTGTTGATAATCAGCAGCTCTGAATGATGCCACGTTTATTTTCGTCATGTGTTTTGAATACCAAGACAAAGAAAACAGTAAAAGGAAAAAATATTTTTACATCGTTGGTCAAAATACTTGAACCAATTGAGTGGAAATTGAGTCAGCTCTTGAGCTTCAACTATTTTTTAGATTTTAATATGCTCCTCATTTTCTTCTGTCAAGTCTGACAACTAGGGAAAATTGACCAATCAGAGGTCGCCAAATAGCTTGGAGTCGGCTGCTAAAACGCTACAATTCCGGTGACGTGTGGTTTATTGCGCTGCGGTGCCGGTTGTGGGCGAATTTCGTTGATTTTTAATTCGCGTGGGGTCAGGTGCTGCTTAGTGTCCCGGGTTGATCTCGAGAATATATTTGTTACCTAGATAATATCTGTTTCAACATGCAGAATCTCGTCATTTCGTTTGGTTTGATAGCGCTTTTTCAGCTTGCGTTGGTTTCATCTTTGAAATCTGGAGACTGTGAAGGTAAGAGCGATCAATATCCATTTTTGATATTGAAGGATCCATGAGAGGTTGCTTTCAAATCGCTTGACAAATAATAATGTACATGTTTTTGTAACGTAACGAGAAAAAACGAGGTGGCTTTTTGTTTTTTGTAACGGCAATGACAGCTGGCCGATCCACAAAGGAAATCTCCCTAATTGTAATCAGTATTAGGTATTAGTAGAGCAGGCGTCACACCAAGGTTTTCCAACCAAGGAGAGGTGCTATGCCTGGAGGTACTTCTTTCAAACAATACCTAAACAAACCTAACCTTACCTACAACCTACAATACAACCTACAACCTAAACCTACCCTACAGCCTACAAACATACAGCGCCTCTCCTTGATTGGAAAACCTTCGTGTGACGTCTGCTCTACCAATGCCCACTATTATTGGATGCTGCAGTGTGTGGCCTGCAAGTAAAACTCCCTAAAAGTTATCTGATATCCTTATAACTCCTTTTTCCTCCTCGCGCATTGTTTTGTAATTACAATAGACCCATTTTGAAATTTGATTTGCTCATTGGGAAGATAGAAGAAATTGGACAATGTTTGACACTGTGGAAGGGGCTGATGGACCAGCTCTCTCCCCTAGAATCCATTTAATATTTATAAATTGAGCTCTCGTGTCTCAATGAATTTATTGACAGGCCCAGTCCCCAGACCCCATGATAAGTAGAGCTTGTTGCCTCGTGCAGGCCTTGACTCCTTTCTGATTGAGTAGGTAGGTACCTACTTTTAAAGGCTAAGAGTTCAGTCAAGTTACCCATATCAGGTTAACCATGAAATTTGGTGGTATATTTTAGCTTCCAGTCAAAGCAGCTGGTCTTAGTTGGTACCACGCAACTGATTTCAGTTGACAGAATCATGACAGAATCTTATTTATATGATATGGGATAGTGTTATGCAAGATTCTCTTAGTCTTGCAGGAATCAGGATTGTCCTCAGAATTGTGTAAGATCTTGCATGATCAAGCAGATTCTTGTGAAGTCTCGCAAGACTTTTTCACATGGTTGCTTTCATGACAATGAGCCATATGTTGAGATGTGAGACTATCCCTATCAGGAGTCATATTATTGAGTGCAGGTATGACTCAAAGCCAGGCTGTGCTCAAAGCCTCATGGGAGTCAGCTGTCAACCATAAGTACTTATTACTGTTTGAGCAAAATTGTGGACGAATGATATATGAAACTGTGAGTTTTAGCTTATACCCATGCATGTTTTCATCACTGCCATTTTCACAAGAAGGCCATTGCCTTCTACTCTTTACTCAAATGACTCAAATTATGAGCTAGTGCAACATAAGATTTAACCATTTTAACCATTCCTTTAGTGCCTGCCTAACAATTTTCCCATGGTCTTGTGTGTTTATCACCTTTTTATTTACAGTTTGTATTGGTGTCCTGAACAAGATTTACAAAGCCATCCCTGCTGAGGACAGTTCAAATCAAGATAAGATTCTTAAGAGCCTCCAAGATGTGTGTGCTGAACTCAAAGGAAAGGAGCATAAATTTGTAAGTTAATATTACATAATGAAACCTTTGTGGCTACTTATTTATCATGGGACATTTGCCATTGAGTCAAATATGGTTGAGGAATATTTTTTCAATGTTTTTGTGCATGCTTATTCTTACCCATCTGGTTGGTCGAACATAATATTTTTCCTTAAAAGTATAACCACATTGCCACATTGAATTGTGTGTGTATGTGAAATTGAAATGTCTTCCAGATCCCTGCCTAGTTTGTCTCCTGACCTCCATTATGTGTCTGAACTACTGTTGTATTTTGTTTCCCCATCTCCCCTGCCCACTGCACAGTCTCCTGGCTGATAGGATGACCTGTACGTGCTGCATCCACTTCTTTTGTCCCATATGTCCCGAGTTCCTCTCTGTATCTGTGCCAGTGTGGTTTCCACACCTTCTTTGCCCTCACTAACTCCCCGACTGTGTGTGCGCCAGTGTTACTATGTCGGCGGGGTGGAGGACTCTGCGACGCGTACGCTCAAGGACATCACCCAGCCGATGAGCTATTCCATGCCAGCGGAGAAGATCTGCGAGCGCCTAAAGAAGAAGGATGACCAGATCTGCGAGCTCCGATATGGTCAGTCAGTGAACTGCCACAGCTCCTGGTAGAGGCCGCTAATTTCACTTTGAATTGAAAGGTGGAAATGAGCGCATGGTATATAATAGATTTTAGTGTAATAAAACGGCTTGAAATCGAGGGATTTGTAAATCGCAGTGATGCTCCAACTAAAGGTCGAACAAACTTACGGCTTGTTCAACCTCTCGGGCCTTAGTTCGCCTCAACCACTTTATCTTTATTTTATATCTTCATTTTCTTCACCAACTTCTGTGATTTTTTCAGACAAGCAGATCGACCTGAACAACGTGGACTTGAAGAAGCTGAAGGTCCGTGACCTGAAGAAGATCCTCGCCGACTGGGACGAGATCTGCGACGGCTGCCTCGAAAAGACCGACTTCATCCGACGCATCGAGGAACTCAAGCCCAAGTTCATGCGCGAGGAGCTATAGTGCTGCTGTCACTTAGGTGCTATCTATCGACATCTATTTATGTTTCCGCCGCCTGGGTACATGGACGGTGGTCAGAGCAGTGTGTGTGTTCTCCAGTGTGTTGCCGGACGCTCTCAGGCACGCTCGAACGTCCGACCGGGAAGCTGATAGGCTGCCTCGCCGAGAAAGTACGAGAGCGGATGCACGGCTTGATGTCTAACCGCTTTCCATCGCGCCGCACGAGTGGAGAGCTGGCGCGACTCAAAACGAGGCAGTATTTGTTACGGAGGGGGAAGGGAGGGGGCTGCGGCCGATCTGATTGGTCGGCTCATTCCAGGGGGCGGGGCAGCGCCCGACTGCTGTGTGTGCACGCGGGGGTGTTACTGTATTGCTGCACGTCCTTAGACGACCGATGTGACTTGGGAGGGCCCTCATCGAGTGAATAAATTTAATGTCACCCATTACGATTTGTTTTGTTGGGTTTGTTACCGCGACTGTGGCGGATGGTTGATCCAGAGCAGACATTTCCGAACGTCTCCGAAAACCCGCATGATTCATTTAACGTTTAGTTTTGATAGGAGCAGACCGGTCAATATGAAGGTTGGCGCTTATTCTATGCTGACGAAATCGAACCAGTGATCGGTTCGATCGGTTCACCCCCAACGTTCCACTTGTTTTTCTATGGATAGCAGTAGCTTTTAGGCGTCTTGGGTCCGTTTTCAGAAACAGCAGCTTTTGAATCGGCGACAGCAGATGCGGCTGATGGCATAATTGTTCGTCGTTATCATCATTAGTCACGGCTCGGCGCCGCTTCCGAAAGCTAAAACATCCCCTGGCCCGCCAAATTGGTGAGGCTAGGGAGAAAGAACAAAATATGTGCAGAGTTAGACGTGTTTCTAGGCATAGCTGTCTGCAAACGCTGTAGCCTGTTTCGTTCAGAACATCTTAAAGGGACTGTCCCACCTTAACATTAGATTTGAGTTGAGATAGCCATCTTGATGGACGTTCTTTGAAAATCAGTGCCGTGAAAACCGTTTCTCCAGCAATTACTTCATCGCAAAGAAATTTGAGTTTGATTTTGACATCTGTGCAAATAAGTGCCACAATGTATTGGTATAGGCACTTAAATCTGATGACGTCATCAGGCTTTCGAACGTCCGTTAAATGTTTGACTAAAACGTTTTGTAGCACGCGGTGGTATATGCTGCGTTGCGCGCAACAAATGCCGCACTTTTAAATAAAGTCGCTAGGAACAGCGGAGATCCCAAAAAGTAAACAAAAGTAAAAGTCTAATATCTTGAAAACCGGTGAATATTTTTCGGTGAAATTTGGTAGATATTCGTTTTCGCTCTTTCTGAACCGAGCGACATCACTTTCATGCCAATTCATAAACTTTTTTAAAGGTGGGAGGGTCCCTTTAAAACCAGCATTCAGTCAACTTGAACATAAAAGCCGGCGGCAACACATGCGACACCCCGCGTACAGCCTTTGGTTTATTTGTGCGCCACTGCGCGTTCGTTCGTTCAGAAGGCTGGGCGTCCGCTCAGGGGACCGCCCGGTTAGTACGCGTAACTCTGACGACTGTGACCGTAGGTTACAAGCGAGAGTTAGTTTCGCCCCACACCCGACCGAGCTGACCCGACGCGCCGCTTCCGTCTGACTTCTCGCCGCAGAAGTCGACCGAGCGGCGCGGGCACGCGCAGCGCGCGCTGACTGGGGCCGGCGCGTCCCGCCCCACAGAGGCACTGGGTGGCGTCATCTGACACAGAGGGCCGACCGGCCGGCCCGCAGCCGCCACAACTTAACAATACGGCACTGTCCGCTACCACTACCGCGGCCTAGCGCCGCCACCTGTCTACCAGCTACGTGGTGAATCAGAGACCCGAATTCACGAATAAAGATACGCAATAAATAATCACCGTGACCAAGTAAAATAGCCGAGAAGCCGGGCTGGGACAAGATGACTAGAGAAGACAGAATGCAACGGTTGAGGCCGACTCGGGTTCGCACACGCTCAGGCACACACACCGCTAGCTACCGAGCGTCACAAAACTACAGATCGGCTGAGCCGTTGGGCGCCGCCCGCACAGGCACACCAGGCAACAAACGCACGCGCACCGATCACCGGGCTACTTGCATAAATGTTCTATCATCACAGGACGTTCTCTATGACCGGCGCTAGCACCGCCGCCGCGCCGGCCGGCGAGCCGTTTGCACCAGTCAGGTATATAAAAATAGGCTAGTAAATGCTGCACTGCGTCGTGGGGGTCGGCACACCGCCGACCGAAGCTGCCGGGTCGCTAAAGGCGCGCACTGGGGCTGCCTGGACGGATTCAATGTCTCTCTCAGTCAGTGTAGTATGTATACATATTGTCCTGGGTGATTATTGTCAGAAGACGCGGCGGCCGTCCGCGCTCGGCCTCAGTTGGTGAAGCCGTCGTAGAGTTTGGTGATGACCACCTCGCCGGTGGAGAGTGTCTGCACGGCGGCGTCTCGGGTGGGCGGCGGTGAGGGCCGCTCGGCGCCCTCCGTGGCCGCCGCCAGCACCTCCTCCAGCCGGTGGATGCGCTCCAGACGGCCCAGACTGCCGTTGGCCAGCACCTCGTTCACCATGGCCATCGACTGCGAGATGCTGGGCGATGTGACGCTGCGCGGCGAGAGCACCCCGCCTGGAGGAATAGCGGCAAATAGGGGCGGTCAGAGAGGGTGGCAGACGGGAACAGTCGGTAACACACGGAGACAGCTGTATCAATAACACAACACACAGGATACGGTCCCAGGACGGCTAGCGGGGCACCGGAACAGATCAGCAACACACGAGGAACACACAAGAACCTTTTGTCACACAATTTAGGTCAACAACCCGGGCCAGGTGAAGGGGTGAAGAGAATAATATGACGTCTGCAGGCTATGCATCATATTACATTCAGTTTGTAATGCACGGACGTGTGAGAAACCTCTATGATCCAGCCACCATCCCTCTTTAGTCATGACTTGACTCTATCTCACTTAGTCGACTCTCTCCTAGTAATTCCTCGATACCACTCCCTGCTCAGTTATCTATGCCCCAGCACCTTTCTGCCCAGTCCCAACTCCACATCTCTTGACACACGACCCTCCAACCGATCCCAGCGACTGACTCTTTCCCTTCCCGGCTATATTCTCCCTGGTCCCAGCCCTTCCCACCCCGTTCCCTGCTCGGTTCTCCCCCATTCCTTCCCTTCAGTCCCACCCCTCCACCCGTATTTACCGGTGCTATCGGCGGCGGACGAGTCTCCCGATGTGCGTCCGCCGCTCTCCACACTGTTATTGCTCGTCATGCTGCTCAGACTCGGGTACTCCGAGTCGCCGTTCATCCACGGCAACGACGTCTCAGAGTCGTCCGCGGCGCCCTCCCTGGAAGCACAGACACAGGTGAGGGGTCAGCACGGTGGAAAAAGAAACTTTGATTTAGCTAAGTGTTATGCTACCTAGCAGTTTCTCCAGTCACCCACTAGGTGACATTACGTAGAACAACGGTTGGAAATTCAAGCGATCAAACACATCAAGATCAAACAACAAACACACAAGACTTAGATACCAAGAACCACTGAATATTTCATCTTAGGGAATTTACAATTTTACAGTCACTAAACAAGCACATCACTAATGAAATTCTAAGCAACACTGAACAAACACATATGCAGTTCCAAGAAAACCAGGTTAACGTCCTGCGCACGCTGATGCCAAATGCCACAATATCTCGACTTAAGGCCTGGCTACACTATGCGTTTTCTGCGTGCGTTTTTGCAGGTTTGCGTGTTTTGCGTAATATCGTTCTAGGAAAAAAGATATAAACAATATAATTTTTACTTTGGTTATATACAAAAGCTAATATAACTCTTATGTAACTAAAATTTAAGGTGAAAAACATCACAAAAACGTAATATCGTTCTTTTTTCTAGAACGATATAACGCAAAACACGCGAACACGCAAAAAACGCACGAAGAAAACGCATAGTGTAGCCAGGCCTTTATACATACACAATGAACAGAAGGAGCTAAAAGACGGCTTGACCAAGCTCGTCACTCACCCGTCCTCGCGCTTCTGCTGCAGCCGCTCCAGCTTCTTGGCCACCTTGTAGGACTTCTCCAGCTTCTCCCGCTGTTCGTCCGTCAGCTCCACGTACCTGAACAGTCGCGAAGACAGATGTGAGAAACGGAACACACCGCTATGAGATACTGTGACATCTATTTGTAGCAGTTTAAGCTCGCCCAGGTTGTGTTGTCTATGTGAGATATCCCGTTTTGTACAGAATCTGCATGTTAAAAAGCTGAAACTCTGCTTGAGGCTCATGATGAATAATAATAATATAAGAATAACCAGTAACCTCATAATATAAATCAGAAATAGGAGCCAAAAAGGTTATATTTAAAGTTATCGAATATTTCGCTCCTGGAGCTTCGTCAGCGATAATTACAGAAAAACATATACGACTCTTGCATATACGTTTTAAACATGGAACAACAAAGAACACTGCAGAATAAATAGCAAACTCATGCTACACTTCGCAAGGGACCGACATTTTTGGCGAAGTTTGAATAGGTACAATATGAATGTATGTATACAGTGTACGTATTTACAATATACACGTATATAGGTACAATAAACAATAGCTTTACATACAAACGTAATCGACTACATGTGCACTGCATACATTACACATCATCAATTATTCACATGTGATTGTTATTATATACACTTCAGACTATATGTATCCAGAAAAGTTTGTGACGCATTTACATTTTGAATGATGTTCTCTTTATGATTATACAACATATACATATATAATATGTATATAATATACTACACATATATACAGAGAAAATATTATACAGAAATATACAGGTCTATCATACATAGACATAAAAATCTGTAAAGCATTAACATATATACAGATGTGGCATGTACAATGCTTACATATATTTACATATATCTATGAGTCATATATCATCTATGTACAAGTGTCACGTACAGTATATATATCATTCTAAGGCTGCAGCCGTGTCAGCGGCCACGAGGTAGTCTGGGTGTTAAGTGGAGGTCTCTGGTCTCTGATGTACATGGACTCTTTTATTTTTCTGTCGGGACCATCCTTGGCGCGAGCCAGAATGCTCAGTTTCAGGTTGTTGCATGTCAGAGGGGTGTGTAGGTGTTGGTTTTGATGAGAGCCAAACGGTGTGTCTATGCGTTTGTTGCGTGCGTCTCCAAGGTGTTCATTGAATCGCTTCCTTATCGAGCGTCTGCTTTCACCGATGTAAAAGGACTGGCCCTCGGGGCACAAAGAACAATCAATCCTGTAGATGGTGTTTTTGAAGTGGCACTTCCATGCAAGCCCTGCACAGCATGTGTTGCAGCGCCTACCTCCACCTGGACAGGAAGGAGGACTGAAGGCTGATTTAATCAGCTTCTGGCCGACAGTCTCGCCGCCTTTCCAGGCCACCTGAAAGGCAATTTCACTGCGCCTCACGATGCCTTGCACTATGTGGCACAATTTATCGTCAACGAATGGCAGAACGAGTGGGGTTTTGTAGGCTCTAACCTGATCGCGCTGACCTCGTGTGCCTGTGTCTGTCCTGTTATGTGTTTTGGTGGCCTCCTGCCGTGCTCTGTGAAGTGTGGCCCCTGGGTAGCCGTTTGATTGGAAAAGGTCATCTACCTTATGGAGGCTGCGCTCGGTGGGGTCCCCTGGTGACGATAGTCTCAGAGCTCGCAGGTATTGGGACCTAGCTGTTGCACGTTTTACAGACATAGGCTGTGCCGAGTTGAAGTGCAGAATGACGTTGGCTGACATGGGTTTGATGAACAGTTCGGTGGTGTACTGCCCTGTTTCAGATATTTTGATGAGGGTGTCCAGGAAAGAGAGGGCCCCTGTGTTGGCCGTATGTTCCAAAGTGAACTTTATTGATGGGTGGACGCTGTTTAGGTACTCAAAATAGTTAAGTAAGCTAGGGAGCCCGTGATTCCATACGCCAAACACATCATCAATATAACGTAGGTATAGAGATGGCTGAGCTCTCGCTGAGCTTAGGAACATAGACTCAAGCATGTGCATGAAAGTGACTGCCAGCGGTGGAGCTACTCGACTACCCATTGCTATCCCGGTCTGCTGTCTGAAGTATTGTGACCCGAAACGCACGAAGTTCTGTGTGAGACAATGTTGTAAGAGCCGCTCGATGTCATGGAGGGCCATACCGAACGTGGTTATACGTTCTTCTTGTTCTCGTAGCAGGGTCATACACGCTTGGATCCCTTCATGCACAGGAATATTCCCGTACAGATTGACCACATCGACACTGAAGAGAATGGTCCCTGGTTCAAAGCCTCGTGGATATTTACTTTTCACTCGGTCAAGAAACTCTTGACCGAGTGAAAAACTCTTTCACTCGGAGGTCATCCAGTGGGTCAACCAAGAGGCGGAACGTATCTACTGGAGAAGCACTCAGATCAAAAGGAATTTACTAGTGCGAAAGTATCACGGCCTACTAAACGAAGGGCAAGGACGTTCGGCTGTTGAGCCGCAAGAGACTACGACTCAAGAGAACACACCGCACGAGAACACCCCGCAAGAGGCTACGACACAAGAGCATACGCCGCGAGAGACTTCGCAGCAAGAGGCAACGGTGCAACAGACAACGTCAAGAGAGGCTGCACCCATTGTCAGTACTGGTGCCACCCAGCCACCAGTCTCACGTCTGAAAAACCTTTCAGACCTCACCTTAGCTCCAGAGCTCGCTCATTTGCTCTCTAATGGTCCCAAGTACGCTCTAACAAGACGCATCACACCAGCTGTGATGAATGCTGCCGAGTGTGGAATAGAGCGTGGCAATTACGCCCTCCGATGGAAGATCGACATCGAAAGTAGAAGAGCACAAACGACTCCGAACGACTCCGACCGACTCAACAGAACACAGCCAGCACCGCCGCCGCCGCCGCCGCCCCCAACGCCGCCGCTGCCGCCAGGATCACCCGAAGGCGTCCCTCCTACCCGGGCCATCACCGACGACAGCACAGGACACCAGCCGGCGTCACCAGAGACCTCCTCAGCACAGCTACGGCCACGGTTTGCTGATGGCGACTGCTCGCAGGCACCACAGGGCCCGCCTGATATAGAGGTGGCCCTAAGACAGGTAAAGAGGCGCATTTTGGCAGCCTACAAGAACCATAGGTCTCCCGATCCTAATTATTCTCGGGCGCAGCTAGCCTCTCTTAAAGACCTGGCGAATAATGGAGAGGCGATTGTCAAACGCTCTGATAAGTGTACAGGCTTAGTCATAATGAAAACAGGTGACTATGTTTCAAAGATGCACGACATCACAGAGGACTATGTCAAAGTAGAGAAAAACCCCACACCGAAGCTCGAGGCCTCTACTAAGCGCCTAATACATGAGTCGTTAGATGGTAAGCTAGAAGAAAAGGTGATCAAGAGCATTTTTCCGCAGTGTTCCCGTACAGCTGAATTGCATGGTTTGCCGAAAGACCACAAAGCTAGCATTCCACTCAGACCTATTGTGTCATCTTGCGACGACCCCTTAGATAAGCTGACCTGGGTGTTAGAAAGGGTGATTACTCAGCTACTTCCCTTTATTCCGGCTCATCTGAAAAACACGACAGAGTTTCTTGACCAAGTGAAAAGTAAATATCCACGAGGCTTTGAACCAGGGACCATTCTCTTCAGTGTCGATGTGGTCAATCTGTACGGGAATATTCCTGTGCATGAAGGGATCCAAGCGTGTATGACCCTGCTACGAGAACAAGAAGAACGTATAAGCACGTTCGGTATGGCCCTCCATGACATCGAGCGGCTCTTACAACATTGTCTCACACAGAACTTCGTGCGTTTCGGGTCACAATACTTCAGACAGCAGACCGGGATAGCAATGGGTAGTCGAGTAGCTCCACCGCTGGCAGTCACTTTCATGCACATGCTTGAGTCTATGTTCCTAAGCTCAGCGAGAGCTCAGCCATCTCTATACCTACGTTATATTGATGATGTGTTTGGCGTATGGAATCACGGGCTCCCTAGCTTACTTGACTATTTTGAGTACCTAAACAGCGTCCGCCCATCAATAAAGTTCACTTTGGAACAGTGTCCCAAAATTGTGTTTTGGCTTGGGTGTCAGAGGGAAAATTCCTCTCCAAAAAGGGGGATAAGAGTGGAAAATTCCCCAGTTAGATAAGGCCCAAAAAGAGTGGAAAAGAGATTAATGGCATACATTTATGTATAATGAGGTAAAATGTAATATGTAAAATGACCAATACAAATGCTTATTCTCAGTAAAGCTGGGAGTGGAAAATTGCTCTTAGATATTTGAGACGAGAGTGCAAAATGATTTTTGTTTGGATGTCGTTTCCCACCCAAATCGAAATATTTTGGGACACTGCTTTGGAACATACGGCCAACACAGGGGCCCTCTCTTTCCTGGACACCCTCATCAAAATATCTGAAACAGGGCAGTACACCACCGAACTGTTCATCAAACCCATGTCAGCCAACGTCATTCTGCACTTCAACTCGGCACAGCCTATGTCTGTAAAACGTGCAACAGCTAGGTCCCAATACCTGCGAGCTCTGAGACTATCGTCACCAGGGGACCCCACCGAGCGCAGCCTCCATAAGGTAGATGACCTTTTCCAATCAAACGGCTACCCAGGGGCCACACTTCACAGAGCACGGCAGGAGGCCACCAAAACACATAACAGGACAGACACAGGCACACGAGGTCAGCGCGATCAGGTTAGAGCCTACAAAACCCCACTCGTTCTGCCATTCGTTGACGATAAATTGTGCCACATAGTGCAAGGCATCGTGAGGCGCAGTGAAATTGCCTTTCAGGTGGCCTGGAAAGGCGGCGAGACTGTCGGCCAGAAGCTGATTAAATCAGCCTTCAGTCCTCCTTCCTGTCCAGGTGGAGGTAGGCGCTGCAACACATGCTGTGCAGGGCTTGCAGGGAAGTGCCACTTCAAAAACACCATCTACAGGATTGATTGTTCTTTGTGCCCCGAGGGCCAGTCCTTTTACATCGGTGAAAGCAGACGCTCGATAAGGAAGCGATTCAATGAACACCTTGGAGACGCACGCAACAAACGCATAGACACACCGTTTGGCTCTCATCAAAACCAACACCTACACACCCCTCTGACATGCAACAACCTGAAACTGAGCATTCTGGCTCGCGCCAAGGATGGTCCCGACAGAAAAATAAAAGAGTCCATGTACATCAGAGACCAGAGACCTCCACTTAACACCCAGACTACCTCGTGGCCGCTGACACGGCTGCAGCCTTAGAATGATATATATACTGTACGTGACACTTGTACATAGATGATATATGACTCATAGATATATGTAAATATATGTAAGCATTGTACATGCCACATCTGTATATATGTTAATGCTTTACAGATTTTTATGTCTATGTATGATAGACCTGTATATTTCTGTATAATATTTTCTCTGTATATATGTGTAGTATATTATATACATATTATATATGTATATGTTGTATAATCAGAAAGAGAACATCATTCAAAATGTAAATGCGTCACAAACTTTTCTGGATACATATAGTCTGAAGTGTATATAATAACAATCACATGTGAATAATTGATGATGTGTAATGTATGCAGTGCACATGTAGTCGATTACGTTTGTATGTAAAGCTATTGTTTATTGTACCTATATACGTGTATATTGTAAATACGTACACTGTATACATACATTCATATTGTACCTATTCAAACTTCGCCAAAAATGTCGGTCCCTTGCGAAGTGTAGCATGAGTTTGCTATTTATTCTGCAGTGTTCTTTGTTGTTCCATGTTTAAAACGTATATGTTTTTCTGTAATTATCGCTGACGAAGCTCCAGGAGCGAAATATTCGATAACTTTAAATATAACCTTTTTGGCTCCTATTTCTGATTTATATTATGAGGTTACTGGTTATTCTTATATTATTATTATTCAGAATCTGCATGCATTCATATCTTGGCAAATAGCAACTCCAATTTAAAACATTCATGGAAGAAACAACTCATTCGAAGCATACGTTCGTGCATACATACACATAACACATAAATATACAGGTCCAAAATCACACATCGTTCACACATTCATTACATGGTCCTTTTTTAGTAGCACTCGTATCAACCCCAGTCCGACTTTACCACCGACCCCTAACCAGGTGTAAGGAGTTCTAACCAGGTGCACAGGCCTGCCTCCATCGGCGCCCCTGTCACCCTCTCCGTAGCGACTCACCGCAGCAGGCGGATCTCGCGGTTGCTCAGCACGAGATTCTTGCCGACGGCCGTCTTGTCCAGCTTCTCCTTGAGGTCACTGACCTCTGTCTCGACCTTACGTTGCTTCTTCTTCTGCTTCACGTCGTCCTGGTTGATGTGCATGGTGACCTGCTCCTCGCAGAGGTCGGCGAAGAGAGTCTGCAGCGCAGGGTCGATCGACCTGGGGGACGAGGCGGTGTTAGGCTGAGGTCTGGGGAAGTCACGGAGCACCATAGATGCTACACGAGCCACATTTTGTGCACAACGGTCATGGGATTTGTAAGCGCGAGTAGGATAACGCATGGGATAAGAATGGAATATGGCGCGGGGTTAAAAGCAACGGGTTCTGACCTATCTTATTTCATAAACAGGAACAGAAAGCGGTTTTCTTATTTACATCGCTAGTGGCGACACTCAGGAGAGTGGCCAGGGACGCGTAACGGTACGCCGCTGGAAGGTGAGAGGCACGTGAATGATAAGAGGGTTCGATGAACGAAAGATAAGAGCAAAATAGGACAGGTGAGAAGATCTCAGGAAACTGGCGAGAAGTGGCGAGAGATGAGTAAGGAATACCGGACAAAGTGCGACGATTCCGGAGAGGGTGAGACGATTCCAGATACGTGAGACGAGTCCGGACTCCGGAGGGAAGGTGTCAGGCCAGGAGTTATCGGTGTCTAGGCTTCAGACGGCTCTGGAAACAGAACAGGTCGGCTCAAGTAATAAGAAGTTATCTTTTTTCTAATGGGCTAGATGCAAAGCGATAACAAGACAATAATAGCAAAACCTGTTAACATGTCAAAAGTACAGTAATCAAACATCATTATATCATATGACCGACAAGAAACAGGGTTATACCCTCGTCTTCCCAACACTAGCATTACTTCACAACGAAACTTTTTTTTAAAGCAGTACACTTCTCAAGCGATCACTGCGTCGCACCTATACCAATAAAACTTCCTCCCTTCTTTACCCACCAAGGGCTTTCCATACGGACCGGTACACACTACACACTCAGGGAACGTTAGATCCATACGGACCGTCACACCCTCAGGGAACTTAACATCCGTACGGACCGTCACGCACTCAGGGAGCGTTAGATCCGTACCGTCCCACCCTCAGGGAGCGTTAGATCCGTACCGTCCCACCCTCAAGGAGCGTTAGATCCGTACCGTCCCACCCTCAGGGAGCGCCTCAGGTAGCGTACCCCCTGTCGTGACCCGTGACCCGATTCGCCCCGGGCGGTGCCGGCGGCGTGGTCACCATTTAGGACGGATTACAGCGGAGGATTGGGAGCGGCCGAGGCCGGCTGATTTCCCCAGGGGTAGCTCAGTCGGCACGTACACCTAAAGTGGACCGCCTCAGAGGGTAATCCACTGGGTCGGTGTCGTGGTGTGGGGTGAAATACTCCAGGGAAATGTCCCAGGAAATGGCCCAAGAGGTCGCTGGGCAGTGCCGTTAGATAAGCGGATAAATATCTTAAGTCGCACGAGCAGCGTGTTAAATTAAAAGCTTTAATAACTTTGACTAGCTAGTGACGTTAGTACCTCCAAGTTTCCAAACACCGACTAGTCTAACGTGCATCCTGTTTAAAGGCTATTTTGAGGTAATAAGCTTACCATTGCTTCATAAAGATTATGCAAAGCGCAGCCACTATCCCATACCACTCAAACATCCCCTTTCGTAGCACAAATCCCTCCTCAGCTATCATATAACTACAAACACAATTCTACGCTTCGCACCTGCTCATGACGTCGTAGATTTTCGGCACCAGCGCCATGACATCGAAGGCGGCGTAGATGATCATGTCGTCTGTGAGAGGCCGTCGCGCCCAGAACTTCTGGTCTCTCCTGTACACCTGTCGGCGGCGGATAGGTCGTCAGAACCGGAGAAGAGGTCGTCAGGGCCAGCCCTGGGCACTCAGCGCCAGCCGGGAGGAGCCGAACGGGCCGCAGGAACGGCTGCAACATCAGCCAGATGGCTGCGGCGCCTCGAACTGGGCGGGTTTGATCAAACCAAAGACGTTAGTGGCAGACGGACAGCCATGTAGGGATGAAATGTGTCCCGCGGAATGGACGATATTTTACAGAAACGGCGGTACGATTGGTTGGCCACGGAGGGAATCAATCTGACCGGTCACTAGCTTTCAGTCTCAGTCCCATTAGCTCTGCACAGGAACATTTTAATCCCACATCTCACGTCTGAACTGGGGAGGCTAATGTTCTACGAATGCCAAATTATATGGCCTTGCAGCCAGTGCACTCTTATAAACTCCATATAGTTGTTTTTCAGTTCATCAACGGACTATCAATCAAATAACATCAAACAAGGTCTCAACTTTCAGCTTCAGTTGCGAAACGAGCTTAGCTCGGACTGCGCTACTCACTCTCAACCTTCCAGACTCCCTTGCCACAGTCCTCACTCCCCAGGCCCAAGGAGGCCGACCCACCTTTTTGATGTGCTCCTTCTGCGGGTTGATGGGCGCGTCGTAGGTGCGGCAGAGCGTCACCAGAGAGACGGACTTGACCTTGTAGACGGGCTTCCCGGTCTCCTGCTGTTGCAGAATGGCGTGAGCCGCCTGAAAAGGAACGAAACAAAACGGGTATGTAAGCAAACAGGCATACATGAGCCGCATGAATCATTACATAGGCGTGATATATGTAGCAGGGCTGCGGAGTCGATGGATTTTCGGCGACTCCGACTCCGACTCCGACTCCGGCTTTCAAAAACCAGCTCCGACTCCGACTCCGACTCCGGGCAGAATTGTCGACTCCGACAGACTCCAACTCCCGACTCCGACTCCGCAGACCTAGCAGGGCTGCGGAGTCGACAGATTTTCGGTGACTCCGACTCCGACTCCGGCTCGGGTTTCTAAAATCGACTCCGACTCCGACTCCGACTCCGGTCACAACTGTCGACTCCGACCGACTCCGACTCCGACTCCGACTCCGCAGCCCTGATATGTAGTACAATGAATGGATACACCTTACACATGGGACACCGCCTAAGGGAAGGTAATGAAATAGTTGCGAATGGGAACTCGCCAAAGCATAGCAGCAACTCGTGGGGAACTTTGACGGGCTAGAGATCGCATTAAAATCGAAATTGTCCAAAAAAAAGCTATTATTTCTGCAACATAACCAAAAATAGACCTTTGAGCACTGCTTGTGGGAAAAGTCCTCTGAGTCTGCTGGCCCACTATCAATTAGTCGACACCCAAACCGTTCTCTGGACATTTACCTTCCCCGTGAGATTCACCAAACGTATCTGAATGCCTGGCTCACCCTGACACCAGGACAGTCAGGCGGGGTGAGGAGGGGGTGGGTGGCACGGTACCGTCGTAAGTACATTCTCCACGCCACGTTCGTCCCAGTAACGGCACAAACGGAGGGAACCGGTCTGCGCTGACACGGCCAGACACAGAGCCAGGAAAATACAGAGCCACGACCGACGCCGGAGCGCCCACCGGCCTTCGTAGCCGGCTTCGACAAATAGCGACACAGACGGGGAATGGTTCAAATGTGTGCGGAGAAAGCCAGATAACGCAATAATGTGAACAGTGGATAAGGGGAAAGGCAGAATTGATACGCAAGGCGGATTGATTTGTGGAACAGCAATTGCTAAGAAAACACAAAACTTGGGCTTGCAATCATACAGGCGGCTGGTAAAATGCAACATGATATCAAACTACCCCACCTGATGTCTTTCTCACACATCTTTCCTGACTAATCCGTCCATCTGCCAAGAAGCTTTCGTCAATCGACTAACTGCACGCGTCTTGCGTAACCAGTCTGCCCGGTAGAGCAGCTGTACAGCCGTGCCCTGCCCGGTAGAGCAGCTGTGCCGACGTGCCCTGACCGACAGAGCAGCTGTAACGCCGTGCCCTGGCCGGCAGAGCAGCTGTACCGACGTGCCCTGGCCGGCATAGCGGCTGTACCGCCGTGCCCTGACCGGCAGAGCAGCTGTACCGCCGTGCCGCTTCCGTTACTCGTGTGTAACCTGACCGGCGCGTCTGTCCGCCGCGACGGCGGGGCAGCCACGGCCGGTTCCGTCTCCGGGCAGCCCGCGTGCGGAGACTGGCGGAGGGCCTCACGGCTGGGCTGGGACCGGCCGGTGCCACATTCCGGAACTGCCTAACACGGCCGGCGGCCGAGACGGCGTCAGAGACAGCTCTGTTGGATACAGGTGACCTACCGACCCGACAGATCGCCTCTGAGGGACACAAGTGAGCCCTGGTGGACATGGGTAACCTCAAGGTGGCTGATAGGTGATCTAAGACGGACCCAGATAATTAAAAAAAAAAATATACCTACAGGACCTCCAACGGACTGGAGGGCGATGTGTGTCTGTTACATTGGAAAGCAGTAAAACTTGCGCCAGTCTATCCCTATGGTCCCTCGTGCCTGATGCAGTAGCAGCAGCTGCGGCCCGGTCCCGTGCCGGCACGCGGGTCGGCTGGGATCGGAGCCGGCCGTGGGCGTCCACTAAGGAGCGGCCTCCGCTCGGCTGACGGCGGCTGCGGGTGAGCTGTGTACTCAGTGGGGCAAGGCCGGATACCGAGCGAGCCACTCCCCCGGCACCGACTGAACTTACGACTGGGGGCCCGAGTCTACACATAACGCTGCAGTGACACTGGACGGTGGAGCATCCAGACCACGCACTGTCCAGTCAAACACAGTCACACCGCGGCAGCTTCAGTCCACTCTCAGTCCTACGCTTTTTTTCCAACACTCTGATCTAATCCAAAGGTTGAGAAGCAAGATAGGCCATTCCAGATGACAGTAGCCAACAACAATGTTAAGACACTCAGGTTTTTGCACTCTCATTCAATGGATGCACGATATTTAAGAATGCTCTCGGAACGCCAAGCGGTTGGTTCAATCGTGATTTGGTTTGGAGATAACTGCAGAACGGGCGTCCCCCGTCGGATGCTGCTGCATTCATGCAAGGTATACAGCCAGTGGGAATCGAAATGAAGGCGGCAAGTCGCTAATGAATGACAACTATGCAGCCTACAGGACCGCGATGTCCGGGCCCCAAGCTGTGCTTTGAAGTCACACAGCTCGACATAGTTTTAGGATACAAAAACAACTCCCGGATGAGAAGGCTGAGAGTTAAAAGAAACACCGCACTAGGAATCCGCTCTATTGTTTCACTATTCGAGCTGAAGGTGTGTTGCAAAGGCCTTACTGTCCTCCAGCTAAGCACATGAGCCTGTACCGGCCCCGCGCCTGACCGGCCCGGACCGCGCGGGACCGGCCCGGACCGCGCGGGACCGGCGCCTCCGGCAACAGGTGCCTGTGCAGGCGGGGCCGGCGCGGCGGCCTGCCCTTCCGACTCGTCGTCGGCCCGAACTGGCGACGATCAATATCAGACGCCGACGCCGACGGCGGCGGGGACACGGCCGCCGCATTCCTCGCACACCAGCGGCCGCCGACGCCGGCGGCCGGCCGCAGCCGCGCGGCCGCGGGCCACCTCAGACGCCGCCGGCTCACGGAAGCTGCGCGGAGACAAGAGCGGCTTCCAAGAAACTCTCCACTCTCCGGCAGCTCAGCAGCGACCGGTGCAGCAGCAAGCCGCAGCTAAGCCCCAGTTCTACCGATCAAGGACGTGCGCCCTCACGCAGCTCAGCAACTTGGGACCGCCGGCCATCACCGGGTCAGGTCAGTCGGTGTCGTCACACGTCTCAGCAAAAACACCCGTACCGCACCCAGGAGAGCAGAGAGGAGGGCCGAGGTGGCAAAACACTGCAGTGAGAGTCGCCGTGCCAACAAGAACGGTGAGCATCCGGTGTGAGACCTAGCGGACGCCTCTCAATAGACGGCCCCAGTAGCGCCGGCGACGCTGAGGGGCACAGACCGACAGACAGGACAGAAGTTGGCTCACAACCAGGCAGTGTCGCAGTGATACGGACGACGCCAGAGCGGCAGTGTCAGTGCGGGTGAGTCGTTGATACCAGTGCTGGGGCGACAGGTGGCCCCCTACCGTCCTGAATAGAGGGCCGACTCGTGTGCTCCAACATCTGAGACCTCCACATCATGAATTGGCGGCTGTTTGAGCAGCTCACGGGCGCAGAGTTGCCAACGGCAGGTCGCAGACCTCTCTGACCTCCGCCGGCAGGTCACGGACCGTGTGACCTCTGACGACAGGTCACGGACTCGTTCTGATCTCCTCCCGAGCGGCGATGGCGCTCCGCCTGGAGGTGGAGTTCGAGCGGCGGCCGGCCGTCTACCTGCCCGGCGAGGAGGTGCACGGCCGTCTGCTGGTGCACGTCACCGTGCCAGAGATCCGGCTGCGCGTGCTGCGAGTGCGAGTGGACGGCAGCGCGCAGACAGAGCTGAAGGAGGGCGCGCCCGGTGTGACCGTGCTCAACAGCACAGAGGACGGGAGGCACGCGGCGCGGCAGCGCCTCCTCCACGCCGACATCCCGCTGCTGCCGCGCCGGGCGCACGCGCTGCCGCAGGGCGTGCACCCGTTTCCCTTCGCGTTCGCGATCGCGGCCACGACACCTGGCTCGCTGCGGCTGGAGCACGGCTCGATCCGGTACGGCGTGCAGGCGACGGCGGCGCCGAGCGAGCTGCTGGCGCGCGCCGTCACCTGCTGGACCGAGTTCGAGGTGCGGCCGCGCCTGCTGGTGGCCGGGAGACCGGCGCTCCGCCAGCCGGGGATCGTCACCGGCGCCGTGGCCGACCGGGAGCTCACCAACCGCGGCTACACGCTGCGGCTGGCGCGGCGCGGCCTCTCGCCCGGCGAGCTGGCCGTGCTCGAGCTGCACGCGTCGGCGGCGCTGCTGGCGCGGCTGGCCGCCGAGCCGGGTCTGCTGCAGCTCGTGCAGGTGGTCCAGTACAGACCGGACGGCGCGCGCCTCTCCGAGCCCAGCCTGCTGGCGCGCGAGGTGGTGCCCGGCGCGCGCTTCGCCGGCTGGGAGCACGTGGAGCTGCGAGTGCCGGCCGACGCGCCACACACGGTGCCGCCAGAGTCGTGCGCCGTGCTCGGAAGGACGTTCCATATTCGTGTGAACACGGCGCTGATCCAGGCGCGCATACCGCTGGTGATCGGCACCTGTCCGGAGGACGCCCAGCCGCCCCCGCCCCCGCCGCTGCCGCCCCCGCCCGAGGAGCCGCCGCCCTCTTACGAGGAGGCGATGCGACAGCGCGCCGCGGAGGGCTGACGGGTGCGGAGAGCGATGTTTGAAAGAAATGGCGGTGATAAGATGCTACAGTGACCAGTGGCCAGTAACCTGCAGGTTCTCGACACATTCTAAACTGTGCCGAGTATAGGAGCTGGGGGAATCTTCATTCCTAACAGCAAGTGATAATGGATATTGTTAGTCACTCCAGCGGCAGTGTAGTGATGCCCAAGACGTTACTAATGACCAATTACGCCATGACGGGTCATCCATTGGCGAGGAAGGATATGCAACATACTCGTACGTGGTATTTGACCTTTACCAGATAGTATTTGAACTCCCCCAAATTCCACGGATCTACCAGTAGTTGACGAACCAGGAGTTGACCCTCAAAAGACGCCACTCACTATGCCAACATGGCCGATTTTCCTCCAGATAGTGAGTGAATT